CTCTCTCTCTCTCTCTCTCTCTCTCTCTCTCTCTCTCTCTCTCTCCTCTCTCACTCTCTCTTTAAAAAAAAAAAAAAAACAAATGAAGAAGCTGAGGCTCCAACAGGTGTGTCTTGCCTGGAGCCATGTAATACAGGAGCTAAGCTTTGAGTGCATGTCTGAGCAACCCTGAAACTGGCCCTGGTCTCAAGGAGACACAAGCTAAAGATGGCAAAGGGCCTTGGGTTCGCGGGTGCCTAGGAGGCGGCAGAACTGGGGATGAGAGCTGGGGATCTGAGGGCTTTCTTTGGCACTGAAGCCACTGCTAGATTTCACAGTGGGGGGCAGGGCTCACCCCAACACGGCCCTTTCCTTCCAGTCATAGCTGCCAATGAGCTGGCCTGCCGAGGCCTGGACCATCTGGAGGAAAAGATCCCGGCCCTCCAGTACCCTCCTGAAAAGGTGAGCCCCTTCCTCTTCCCCAGTGATGCCTATACTGCTGTCACTGCCTCTCAGAAAGGAGAGCTGGGAGTCTGAGTATCCATGGCAAGCAGTCTCCAAGGCTGGTGGTGGCCCCCTGTACCTAAGGCAGCACAACAGGTTCTTCCTCTTCCTATGGAGCCAAATGGGAGAGGGGTCACGGCACAAATCCTGGGAAAACTCAAATAGGAGCTTGATTGGGTCCCACAACTTCCTGATATCTGGTTCTGGGACTTGGGGTTCCATGGGTCTGCCTTGCACCACTTGGTGACTATAGTTACCTAAGATCATGGGTCACACTCATCAGGATCCCAAGATTGCAGCCCCATGTCCTAGAGATCCAGCTCTTTATGGGCCATGATACTGAAAAAAATCACTTCACCTGGCCACATGTTTATTGGCTGGTTGCGTTAGGCACTTTGGGGGAATAAGCTTCAATGGCCTCATCCATTTAATTGATCAACCACCTACCATCCCATAAATATTCACTGAGCCCTGCCCTATTCAGGGACCATGACATGATTCACAGAGCTCTCTCACTTTATCTGCTTGTCAGTCCTCTGGGATGAGACTTGTTACCCACATTGTACAGATAAGAAAACCAGTGACACTGCCCAGCCACACAGCCTAAGCAGAGATCACAGGAGGACAGGCCAGTGCTCTTTACTCTCATTTTCCTCATAAAGGGCAAAAAATGGATAACCCCTACTAAGGTGTCGCGACCCCTTGCCCGCAAGGAAGACGCAACTCAGGAATCTTCTTTCAGCAGTTTATTCAGGCCTTTGTTTTGACATGTCTTTTAGCTTGTTTCTCTCTCTACTACTACTACTACTACTCTTATTACTACTCCTACTGCCACTACTCCTACTGCCACTACTACTACTGCCATTATTCCTACTGCCACTACTACTACTGCCACTACTACTACTCCCGTGTGCCCCAGCCTTAATAAAGCAGATAAAGCCCCAATGCACAACTGCCACGTGGACTTTTCTCATAGGGTGCCAAGTCACAGCGTGCCAACTCATTCTGATAAGGAGTTGTTTTTCACAGACTACAGCGGAAACCAGCGCCATCTTGTAATGGCGGCCACAGTTCACAGAAATGGCTCACCACACTAAGGTCCCCTCTTGTCCTTGCAAGAGTTCTGTTTCTATTCTCCACACTTGAATAAATCCTACTCCTTTCACTCTTCCAAAAATAAAGGCATCAGTGTCTTTTCACAGAGGAGCTCCCAGGCTATTTAGGAGGAAGGTAAATTTTTTCAGTGAAGAACTTAGAAGAAGTTAACTATATCTATAAACCAATATAAATGCAGATGGAACCAGCCTTCTGAGGGAGGGACAGAAGAGTCAGGACAGAATTTTGCCTTATTTGCACAAGGGTATCAGAATAGATGCCACCTGCAGGGAGCCTTTGAGGCTGACCTCAAAGGATGAGCAGGACCCTGACAGGCAGCATAGTGGTGTAAGGGAGACTGGAGGTCAAAGTGACTGGCACAGCTTAATCTGGGTGCCCACACAAAGATGCCAGTCCCCTGGACTTTAAATGATGCCTTCCAGGGAGCTGGCCTCAGGGCCTGAGGCTCTGAGAGGGCAGTTCTCACAGGGGCTAGGAGGAGACTCATGTGTTTGACCCTCTCTCCACCTTTTCCCAGATCGCCTCTGAGCTGAAGGACACCATCTCCACCCGGCTTCGAAGTGCCAGAAATAGCATCAGTGTGCCCATCACAAACACTTCGGACAAGGTCCTGGGGGCCACTCTGGCTGGCTATGAGCTTGCGAGGGGGATGGCCAAAGAGACTGTGGAGTATGCTGCTAACACCAGAGCTGGCCGACTGGCCTCTGGAGGGGCCGACCTGGCCTTGGGCAGCATTGAGAAGGTGGTAGAGTACCTCCTCCCTCCAGCCAAGGAAGAGTCAGGTATCTGCCATAAGGCCACCCATGTTTCCTGGGGAGCCATGTATTTGGGAAAGAGTGGGAGACCAGAGCTCATCCAGCCACTGCTCAAGAACAGGAAGGTCCAGAGGGAGTTTCAGAGTGCTCCATAATCATCGGTCTACTCTCCCCATCTGTAAAAAGGGAAAGTGAAATACCAGGGTCTCAGGAGGCTGAGGCAAGAGGATTGCAAGTTCAAGGCCAGTCTCAGTAAATTAATGAGACCCTGTCTCAATTTTAAAAAGGGGGGTGGCTGGGAATGTGGCTCAGTAGAGCACCTCTAGGCTCAATGGCAAGACCACAAAAAAAAAAAAAAAAGTGAGTTTGTGTTAGAATTAGGGCAACTGCTTTTTGGTCCAAAACACAACCTAGCTTCCCCCAGCTCCTTTCTCATCTTTTTTCCCTTCTTTCTCCCAAATTTATACCCAGCCTCTGTTCCTGGACACCAGGGGGCCCAGAAGCCTCCCAAAGCCAAGCCAAGCCTTGTGAGCAGGGTGGGGACCCTGGCCAACACCCTCTCTCGAAACACCATGCAGACCACAGCCTGGGCACTGAAGCAGGGCTACTCCCTGGCCATGTGGATCCCAGGCGTAGCACCCTTGGTGAGTGTCTGCCCTGAGCACTGCCTGAATCCTGCCTGGGAGCACTGAGGGCCCCCTGGTCCCTTCTGTCTTGGGAATGTTCTCCCTTCCAACTTGGGCTGGGACTTTAGGTCTAAGAACAAGGGGTTTTAAGAGGAGAGGAGAGCTAATTGTCCAAGCCATGGGGGAGAGAAAGGGCAGGATGTGGGAAGAGGACAGGCCCTTTTTCTGGAGTGGTCCTGCCCCACCACCCACATCTGTCTCCCTCTGAGTTCCCCAACTTCATCCCCTCATGGGTGTCTTGCTGTGAGGCCTCCCACCTGCAAGGGAGCAGACTCCATCTGCTATCCAGGTAGTAGGAAGTGTCATCCTTATAGCACAAAACCCTTCTGTGAGGGAGGCAGTCCAACTGGCCCTGGTCTATGACTGTCCCCTGGCTTCTGATTTTCCTTCTAGAGGCTTCTAATTTCTACTCCCACTGTATCCAAGGCAAATCTAGCTTCCCCCAGCTTTTTGGTCCAAGACACAACCTAGCTTCCCCCCAGCCCCTTTCTGGGGGCCTGGGGGAAGCTAGGTTGTGGCTCACATGGGTTAGCTCCTGAAGCTCCCACCCCACCTCTATGTGTATTTTATCTCAGATGGCTGGATTTTTTTCCCCCATTGGGAACTTTAGTAAGAAACTAAGGCCAAGATTGGAAATAAAACAACATTAAAGCATGAGGGTCAGCAAGAAGATGACCACTTTCGGCCATCATGAGAGTGGTACTTTTAAAAGTATTCTTAGGCCTGGATTGTTCATTAAGCACATGTATGCCAGGAACCTGCTGTGCACCAGGTGGTTTGGCTCCACTGGGATACAGGAGTAGTGGTTCCCCTCTGTCCCCTGCATTAAGTGTCATTTACCAATGAGACCTGAGACTGATCCACATAGCTGGTCCAGCTTTTGGAGTGAGTAGAAGCTCAGGTGCCCTCATTCATGGCATCCCCCAAATCTATACAATATGGACTCCCTTGGGGAATGACCACTTTTGTCTCCCAAAAGACAATGTCAAAAATGTTCCTATCAGCTTTATCCTTAACCAAGAACTTGAAACTATAGAAAGGTCCATTCATACCAGAATGGGCAAATGGTGGTGAATTTACATAAGGGAATATTATACAAGGATGAAAAAAGGGAAGCACTTGTATACGCAGCAAGGATGGCTATCACAGCATTATGTGGAACTAAAGAAGCTATTCACGAACAAATACACATTATGTGAAGCTGAAAAATAGGTATGGAGCTGGGTGTGGTGGTACACACCTATAATCCTAGAGACTCAGGAGGTTCAGGCAGGAGGATTGAAAATTCAAAGCCAGCATCAGCAACTGAGCAACTCAGTCAGACCCTGTTTCTAAATAAAATATAAAAAAGGGTGGGTGTGGCTCAGTGGTTAAGTACCCCTGGGTTTACTCCCTGGTCCCCCCTCCCAAAAGGCATGAAAGTCAGAGGGGCAGCTCAATGATATAGCATCAGCTTGCCATGGTGAGGCCCTGGATTCAATCCCAGCACCAAAAAGAAAAAAAAAATCGAGAAACAAATGCATAGTGATAGAGATCAGAATAGTGCTCACTCTTAAAGGACTTGGTAGACTAAATCTGGGCCCTGGGTGATCCTCTGAGGTGTTGAAAATGGTCTCTATCAATCTATGGTAGTTACACAGATGTGTACTTACAACAGTTTATAGAAATGTATGCTAAAGATGTGTGCTCTTCAATGGTATAAGTTACCCTCAATAAAAAGTGCTGAGAAATGTCTGCTGGGACCAAGTGGCTTACCACTCTGCCCCTGGCCCTGGGGAGAGGGACTCTGGCTGTTGGGGCTCCCCCTGGCCTTAAGCAGGGCTGCTAGGCCAGCCATCTGCTACCATCTCTCCTTCAGAGTAGCCTGGCCCAATGGGGTGCATTGATGGCCACGCAGGTGGTATCCCGGAGGCAGAGTGAAGTACGAGTGCCCTGGCTGCACAACCTCGCTGCTGCTCAGGATGAGGATCACAATGACCAGACAGACACAGAGGGCGAGGAGACAGAGGAGGAGGAAGAATCGGAGGCTGAGGAGAACAAGCTCAGTGAGGTGAGGAGACGAGCAGGAACCTGAAGACCCCACAACCCACATGGGAGTGAACAGCAGAGACACAGGGTGAAGAAAAGGTCTCTGTCCCCATCCCAGGGACAGGGTACATGGGTGCAGGACTCTCCCTCACCCTCAAATGCACAAGTTTTTCCATGTCACTCAGTTGACTCTCACAAAAACCCCCTAAGAGAGGCAGGGTAGAGATTATGCTCTCATTTTGCAGATGAAGAAACTGGGGAGCTGGGTGTAATGGTGCACGCCTGTAATCCCAGTGACTTGGGAGGCTGAGACAAGAGGATTACAAGTTCAAGGCCCTGTCTCAAAATAAAGTAAAATAAAATAAAAGGGCTTAGGATGTAGCTCAGGGGTACAGTGTCCCTGGGTTCAATACCAGTACTTCAAAAAAAGAAACAAAAGAAAAGAGAAACTGGAGGGTGATTTGCCCAAGGCTACACAGCTAACAGCAGAGCCAGGCTTAAACATTCTTTGGTTTGGTGTCTACATTCTTCCCCTCTAGTTCTGGGACTGGTGGGAGGGGAAAGGTCAGGAGAGCCACTGTAGGAGGTGCTGACCCTGCTCTGGTCCTCAGGAAGCAACCCTGCCCAGCTCCAGAGGCCTCCTGGGCAGTGTGGCACACACCCTGCAGAAGACTCTCCAGGGCACCATCTCAGCTGTAACATGGGCACCTATGGCTGTGCTGGGCACAGCAGGGAGGATACTGCACCTCACACCAGCCCCTGCTGTCTCCTCCACCAAGGGGAGGGCCATGTCCTTATCAGACGCCTTGAAGGGTGTGACTGACAACGTGGTGGACACAGTGGTGCACTATGTGCCGGTGAGTCCCATCCAGGGCTAACCTGTCTCCCAGGGAGGTCTGGAGAGGACAGATAAAGGAGGGTTGATTGACATGCTGCAGTCTCCCACCTTTCCCCCATCCCTGGAGAACTGCTCCAATTCTCATTGCCCCAGAAACACTGTGACATACTGAGGCCTTTCCCAAACCCAAGAATATAGAGGCCTAGGGCCCTGACCGGAGGGCTCTCCCTGACATGCCCGCTTCTCTCACCAGTGGAGGACTTACACTATCAGTCTAGGGATTCCCAGTGGCTCAGCCCTCACCCCTTAGCTACCAACTGAAGGACCTGACAGAGGCTTCCCTGCTGGGAGGCTTCCAGGACACCCTGAGGGGTGAGCCATGAATTCCAAAGAAGGCAGCTAGCCCAGTCCCAATTCTATCACCTATCCCAACAGGAAAAACCCAAGAGACACCAATGCCATCCCTTTGGGAGCCTCTAGGCCCCTTCCCAAAGTAAGTTACAGATTGAGCAGGTGCAAGGAGGGCTGGGCAGGGCAGGACAGGAGGTATATGCTCTTCAAGCTGGCCAGGGGCTGGGTTACTCAGTCACTCCCACAAAGAGGCATTCAGTGGGGGTTGGCAGACAGCTTGTCCACCTTGGGCTCCAAACATGCCCAGGCAGGTACCCTGATTCTGGCTGGGTCAATGTGTGGGTTGCATTTAGCTTATAATCCAAGGGAGGGTTTCTAAAGACACTGACTTCCCCTTGAAAGTCCCCCTTAGAAAAGCCCAAGAGGTCTGGAAACATTGGAGACATGGCTTGCCTTGCCTGAGGAGTCTGGCTGATGGAGATTAGAGTTGTCAGAACCTCGCGGGTCACCCTAGTGACCCCCATCCTGCTGTCTCACATTCCAGCCTGTGGCCACTCCTGGGGGAATGAAGGCAAAGACCCCAGAAGGGGTGGTGGACCCAAGGCGTAGTGACGAGGGCCAAGTAGGGAATCTAACGTGGCTGCCGGATTCTCAGCTCCCCAGGCTGTCTCTGATGGAACCTGAGAGCGAATTCCGAGACATCGACAATCCCCCTGCTGAGACCGAGCGTCGGGAGGCGGAGCGCAAGGGCTCTGGCGCGCCGCCCACTAGCCCGGAGCCGGCCGCGCCGCGCCTGGCGCAGCACCGCAGCAGCCTTCGTACCGCGCGGGGCCCCGGCCTGGAGGACAAGATGGAGACGACCTCCGTACCGCGCTGCGGCTTCCTGGCCATGCCCCGCGAGAAGCCGAAGCGCAGGGTCAGCGACAGCTTCTTCCGGCCCAGCGTCATGGAGCCCATCCTGGGCCGCACGCAGTACAGCCAGCTACGCAAGAAGAGCTGAGCCCCGGACGCCCGCGCCCCGCCCTGCCCCAAACGGCTGCGCCACCCCCATGGGCTTGGGCGGGTTTCTCTAACAAATCCTCAGAACCTACACTTTCAAGCGAGCATTGACTCCTTCAGAGGAGTCCTCCTGGGAGCCCGAACCTCACCACAACCGTGCTGCCAAGGCACACATCATTTTAAAAGCATCCTTTTGGGGCTTGACCATCAGAGCAGATTTTTAAGGGGCACTAGAGCAACAGCATGCTCTGATTTTCTTTTCATTCATTCTTTCTTTTTTTTTTTTTTGTTTTAATTATAAAACTAATTGTTTAACTTGATATCTCACATTTTTAACGGAACTTGTAGCCAAATGACATTTGACTGTTTCCAAAATTCAGATCCCTCCTCTGTGGACAAATATTTTGCTTCCAAATGAGTAAAAATGTCACCACCCTGATGTGGTGTTCTTGACAGGAGTTCTTGACACATTTTTAGCCTTCAGCTCAGAGATCCTCTGATTATCTAGGCTCTCAGCAAACTACTTTGAAGGGAATAATAATCAAGTACAAAAGCTCTGTGTGTTTATTTAAAATATTGGCATCACTTTTTGAGGACATAGACCAAGTGCCTGGTCTGTCCTCTGTGATGCCATCTTCTTGCTCACAGCCACATTTCCATTTGCATCATTACTTTCTTCCACTTGCATAGTCACTTTAAATGCTGGGGGACTACAATGTTAACGTTCCACCCCACGTAGTCTATATCATGTAGACCGTATATATGGACTCTATAGCCACTGTTCTTTCCAGATCCTGTTTTGGGAAATGTTAATACTTGGTAAACCTAGGAAATGCATAAGTATAATTTAAAAAATTTAAACATTGCAAAATGCTGTGTGTTTTCCTCTGTGAATTTCCTCTGTGTTTTCCTCTCCCAGTTCTGTCATGTATTCTTCCAGTTATGTGCTGTGCACCGCAAGAGCATGTGCACATACCCCCACATATATGTGCACATGTGGGATAGTATGCTCAGGTGCTTTTCTCTTTTCTCACTGAACATACATTTTGGAGATCTATTTATAGATATAAATAGATCATTTCTATTTATAGATATAAATAGATCATATACCCTGTTTGCTTTTTTTAATGGTAAGTACTTTATAACATGATTGTGCTACATTTGGTTTAACCAGCTCCCTAATGACAGACTTTTGGGTTGATTTCAATCTTTTTGAAATATCAGTAGTGCAATTGCAATAGCAATCAGTGCTCTAATAAATATCCTCATCAAAAATGCCTCATGTAGGCCTGGGGATGTAGCTCAGTGGTAGAATGAGTGCTTACCATGCTTGGGACCCTGTGTTTGATTTCCAGCATCACCCAAATAGTGTTCTATACATGTGTGGATATATCTATAGCATAAATTATATGGGTATGTGAAATTTAAATATTGATAGATAATGTCAAGTAGTCTTCCAAACAAAACCCTATTTTCCTAGTTATTTTAATCTGCAGCTACAGAAATATACACAGATAATTTTGTCTGTCATTCCTTTTAGACATCCATAGACATCAATCCCCTATAAATCCTCTTCCACTCATTTGAACCCTTTTCTGTTGCATACCTGAGAGCCCTGGGGCCTTGGCAGGTCTTTGGTATAATGAGTCACAGGCTTCCATGCATAGTTTTGGAGTCTTAGGATGCCAAGAATGGGGACAAGGGAGTGGTTGGTGGACATACACATGTGGACACGGCTGACCATCCCCCCACACATCGCACAAGCAGCAGCAATTCCCTGGGGGGCAGGGAGGTGTGGATCTGACAAGAGGGACCCTTCAAAGCTGATATGACAGGGCTGCGAAGGCAGAGTCCAGCCTAACTCTGGCAAGGCTCCAAGGGCATCTGCTGCAAAAGAGACATCAGGCCTGGAAGTGCAGAGAGAAGAGCCAACCATCCAGCCCCTCACTAATTCATGCTGCTTTTCTCTTGGGGTTCTGGAAACACACTTGAAATTATCCATTTCTCCATATTTCCGTGATCCTTCTTGCTAGGCATATTCCCAAAGGCAGAAAAGCCATCCTCTCGGTAACCCATGAGAGCTGGGGCCTGGGCAGGGCTGCAGTTGTTAATATGCCTGCTGTCCAGGCTCAAATCACTCACCCAGCCCTGGACCTTAGCTGGGATGTTAGGGGCCAGTATATAGAATAGGACAGCACAGGAAGTAGTATATGATATAAAAATCTCTTTTTTTTTTTTTTTTGGGTGCCCTGATCCTGGCCAGAAACAAGAACAAAATACCTCCTAAGTACCTCCTCAAACTGCAGAAATTTGCTTCTTTGGATCTAAACCTGATGAGGGCCTTTTCTTTGTTCTGGGAGGCATCGCTGTGGTGATAAGCCTTCTTGGTCAAGTGGATGTGAAGTCACATTCACACTCAGTATCTTTGTTAACTCAGGACTCAGGAAAGACCTCCACTTCACCCTGGGATGCTCAGGTCCCTCTCCAGAGGAATACTCCATGCCCTGTATTCCAACTTACAAATGCACCTCCAATTCACCACACTCCTACTCATAACCTGTTGAGCAGAACTTAGTCACATGACCCCACCTAGTGGAAAAAGGAAGCTGGGAAATATAGTTTTCATTTGGAGTAGATATGGAGCTAGTTAAAAATCAGGGGTCCTAAAAGGAGGATTAGAGGACAACTTGAAATCTACCACAACACTCTCCTTTCAATAGACATTTGAATTGTTTATTTTTAGCTATTACATACCCTGTGGCAATACTATTATTTTAAGAGTTTCTTAGGGAATAGGCTAGGAGAGGAATTCAAGTATGTGCATCATCAACAATTGATAAATTGTCCTCCAGGGTGATGTTTTGACCTACATTCTCACCTTCAATGTCTTCACCCAAACTTGATATTGTCTATTTTATCTTTTTTAAATCTGATGAATGTAAAATCTCAATGTGGATTTAATTCCCTGATGAGCAATGATATGGAACATTGCATTATATTTCTTGAATATTCATATTTCCTCTCTGTATAATGTCTGTCAAAACTTTTGAGCATCTTTCTATTGGTAACTTTTCTTATTCTCATTGATTCTTAGAAGTTCTTTTATTTCCTGAATACTAATCCTTTATCAACTATATATGTATCTTCTTCCAGCTGTGATTATCTTTTCATGGTTTCTTTCAATGAACAGAAGTTCTTAATTTTAACCTGGTTAAATTATCATTACATTTTTCTTTCTACTTTGCAATTTTAAGCTCTGTTTAAAAAAAAACTATTCCATGACACGAAGTCATCATAATATTCCTTTGTATTTTCTTTTAATACTTTCAAGTTTTGCTTTTTACATGTAATTACTTTTTTTGTTATGATTTAAGTAGAGATCCAATTTTTTTACATCCATGTGGAGAACTGATTGTCCTTTACTCTTCCTTCTTGCTTCGAAGTTTTTTTTCTCCTTAACTTAATACTGTAGGAAATTTAAGAGTGCTCTTAGAAGTCAGCTGGAAGCTAATGCCATATAATATATCTTTTTTTCCCCCAGCACTAAGGATTGAACCCAGGTGCACTCTACCACTGAGCTACATTCCCTGCTCTTTCAATTATTATTGTTTTTTAATGGGATCTAGCTAAGTTGCTCAGGCTAGCCTCAAACTTGTGATCCTCTTGCCTCAGCCTTCTGAGTAGCTAGAGTTATAGGCATGTACCACTGCTCTCAGCCTAAATAATGTTTTCTTGAATCTAATTGGAGACCACAGATTCTGACTGATATATTGCATAGTCCAGCTTTCTACTAATTAGCACTGAACCTTCTGTCATAAATCTAGCTTCCAAACATGGATTCATCTGTTTCTGTGGCATTAACACATTATCTGAATTACAGTAATTTCAAATACATTTTCTTATCTGCTTTAGCAACTCCCCCCACGCTGTCCACCTGCAGTTTTGCTAATTCTGATGCTTTGCTTTTCTATGTAAATAATAAAATCAGCTTACCCAACTCCACAAAAGGAATTTCTATAGATTCAACTTGTTTCAATTACCTATAATTATAATTTGCTTTTTAATGCCCATATTATTACTTGTAGGAACTCCTTTTAGTTGGGGACTTTGTCCTTTCAGGAAATTATCACACATTTTAAAAGCACCTGAATTTTCTGACCCACACCCCAAAATATTCTAGTTTTTGACCTAGTAAGTGGAACCAATTATTTTTTATAGGGAATAGAGATAAAACCCCAAATTTGGACACTGGGGTATGCATACCAGATTTTTCCATGTGGGTATTGGTGTTAGACATAAAAGAATTCCATATTCATGGCTAAGAGTTAGGAAAAGTGTACTACTTTCTAAAGTCATAAATTCATATTGATAGGTCCAGCAATCTCTAGCACTACAAAATTCTCTAAAAATTTTATTGTAACATAAATGTTTTAATTTTATTTTCTCAACTACTTAATTACTATAATTGCAATGATAATTATAATTAAACTGCTCTGGAATGTGATTTTTCATCCATTATTAACACCTTTTGTAACATTTATGTGCATAAAAATTCAAGTTTTGTGTTTGGTTTCATTAAGTTCAGAGTCTTAAACAGTCCTTTTGGTCCTCATGGTGGCAGGCTGCTCTGTACCATTCCTGTTCAGGCCCCCAACTTATTTAGAATATTTGGGACCATGGTGTAACTCTGCAGCATGTCAGAGAACACTGGGGTTGCATCTTCTTTTCCAAATTGCTTGAATTGTTAGTTTCTCTTTAATTGAATTGTTCAATAGAAAATGTCACAGCTGAGCAGGTGCAAGCTCGATTCACCTATTACTAGTTTTAAGAGGGGGGATGGAGAATTTTTTAATATTTATTTTTTAGTTTTCGGTGGTCACAACATCTTTATTTTATTTTTATGTGGTGCTGAGGATCGAACCCAGTGCCCTGTGCATGCCAGGCAAGCGTGCTACAGCTTGAGCCACATCCCCAGCCCCTAGTACTAGTTCTTGATTGCTGCTGCCATCATTTGAGGATATCAGAATCTTGCTTCTTCACTCCTCTAAAGTGGACTCATATGCCAGTGATTGACCAGAGAGTTTCCAGAAGCTTCTGTTCAGACTAGGAGAGCACTGTTGATCTCTCTTGTTTCAGGGCCTTGGCCACTTGTGCAGGTACTGGTTCCTCCAGCTCTACAGCCTGCAGTCGGCCATTGGGGACTATCCAGCTCTGGTCAAGATTAAAGCAAGCATCACCCAGATTCCCAGTCTGTGGTTAGAAACTCTCTGGAGGCCAGAAGAGTCTCAAAATACCAAATCTGCTGCCTGCTGAGTCCCACATACTTGGTGGTACCTGGTGTGAGGCCACAAGGCCACAGAGTAGCACTTTCCCTGCTGTGGCAACAGGCTTGGAATTCTGCATACAAGGAGCCAGGTCCCCAGAGGCCTCCAATCCTGAGCTCAATATATCCTTGGCCCTAGTCGCTGCCCTTCTACATCTAGCAACAGGTTATCTTTTATGACAGCCACACCTTCCACAGCAACCTGCATTCCACACCCCAAGAACCTCTTATCTGGCATTGGTCATGGAATGATGACTTTCCCAGAGCACACAGCACCTTGCACCAGGACACAGAGCCTTCTGTACTGGACTAGGTGTCTGTGACCCAAAAGAAGCCTCAGGAAACCCCAGGAAAGTTGGGGGTCTCTAAGGTGCCCCACCATCGACCATCTGCTGGGGCTCCCTTGTGTTCCAGGTGCAAGGGTGAGGGAGGTCTAGAGGTCAAGACCTCTGGTGGTGGTGACCCTTGTAAGAGTCCTCTTCCCCCTTCCCCTGCCAGAGGCCAGGAGACCAGCCAAGGCTGATGGGAGTGGATCCGGGCCCTTCTGTGCAAGACTCTCTGAGGCTTCTTGAGTCTGCAACCTTTGGGACCCAGGAGCACGGAGATTTCCCCTACAACCATGTTCGGAGGAGTGATTTGGAAGGGATTACCTAGAAATAAAGTTTGTGTTTGCTAGTCCACCATGAAGGCTTCAGAGCTCTTGTGCATTTTTCTTCTGCTTTCTCAATAAAATTGTCCCAAAATGTGAAAATAAAAGAAAAAAAAAAAAGAAAATGCCACAGCTTCTGCAACTTCTTAAGAGATACATATTTGGTACCCAAATGACAGTCCTTCATGATATGCCGATCAGGTGGCCAGGCTCTCCTATTTGAAAATTTTAGCATGTGGTTGTGGACAATTTGATGACTTCCCAATATCCATGTGATCTCATGGATACTTCGAGCCCATTACAGCAACGCCATCACCTTGCCAATGATTAGCTCAGGGGTGAATAGGTTCAAGCCAGGTGGCATATAAGATGTGAAAGAAAACCATTCATAGGAAAGGATCCTTTGATCAAAAAAGCAGGACATAATGCTCACTTTTTCCTCTGGATGATTTGTGTCTGAAGGAGATGGCAGAAAGAAGAGTTGAAGGACCCAGGTTTAGCCAGGCATAGTGGCACATGCTTATCATCCCAGCAACATGGGATGCTGAAGCAGGAGGATCGAAAGAAAATTCATGGCCAGCCTCAGCAACATAGTGAAACCCTGTTTCAAAATTTCAAAAAATAATAAATAAAAAGGATTAGGGATGTAGCTCAGTGGTAAAGCACCCTTGGGTTCAATCTCTAGGGGCGGGGTGGAGAGAGAGAGAGAGAGAGAGAGAGAGAGAGAAGGGAAAGAAAGGGCCAGGTCCTGGCAATGTTGCCCCTGACTCAACCTGCATGGGAGCCCTCTTCCCTCCACTTAGCTAACTGTGAGACAACAGATGGTCTTATTGTTCAAGTAATTTTAACTTGTGGCTTCTATTACTTGAGGTTGAAGTTTTCCTATTATAGTTCTATCTGAAGAGAGCTGACAATTTCTACACCCTTTAATTATGCTATCTATCTCTACAGGCAATATTTTATATAATAATAAATTAAATTTGATTACTACATTAGAGTTCAATTTCTCTAATGATATTTTAAGTGATAAACATGTTTCCAGAGCTTTTGTTTTTGCCGGGCTCGGGATGGAATCCAGGGTCTGCTGCATGCTAGACAAGTGCTCTACCACTGGGCTACACCCGGAGTCCTCCTTTCAGATTCTAATCGAAATTCAATGTGTGGTGCTCCCAACACAAACAATCCCTTGGAGATCAGAGGGATCTTTTGGCTATTTGAAGACATCATCTCCTTAAGGCTGCACGTGTGGACACCCTTTATGACCTCTCCTGGTGTCAAGTTTCCCTTGACAAGAGCCTAAGATGCAATTCAAATTCAAATGCTAAAATGGGAGAAAACAGTATTTTTTTAAATGTGGGAGATGGAAGTTTCTGTGACCCCCTCAGCACCCGGAAGAATGGTTTGGGAGCAGAAAACAGAGATGGGTGAAGAAGGGACCCTGAGCCTAGTAGAATATTGTCTGGTGTCCAGTTCCGAGGCTTGACAAGAGGAGGACCTGGGAGGCTGCTACTTTCTTCTCCGGACCCGCCCCTCGCGCAGCGGCCCGCCCCCTTCCCGCGGCTCGGTCCCGCCCCCTTCCGCGGCTCGGTCCCGCCCCCTTCCCGCGGCTCGGTCCCGCCCCGCCTGTCTGCGGCCGACTCGGCGGCGCCTCGGGCTCCCGCCTCCGCCCCCAGAACCCGGGCGGGCGGAGTTGCGGGTGAGAGGAGGGATGTTTTGGGGGGCGGGGGTCCCGATGACGGCATCTGAACGCGCCGCGCCGGGGCGTGGACCCTGACTGCGCTGCCCCGACTGCCCCGGCACCCAAGCAGGTGGGTGTGGGCCCCCTCGGGGCTGGAAGGCGAGGGCAGAGTGACGGGGGCGGCGCGCTCGCTCCCCCCTGCGCAGGCCTGGGTGGGTGGCACTGGGACCCGCGCGGCTGGACAGTGCCCAGCCGGCTGCTGGAAGCCCTTCCCTGGGTGGGCCGGCATCCTCCTTCCCTAAGTATAGGGGCCGGGCTGGCATCTCGGGCCTGGCCAGGGGGAGCGGTCGCTGAGGCTGCGAGGGCCCGGGCCCCATTTTAATAACTTCTTCAAACTTTGCTGGAGCTGCAGCCCGGTGCCTGCAGACTCCGGAGCGGGTGGAATTGAAGGGGCTCCTTAGGGCGCGGAGCATTGTACAACTAGCAGGGATCCTGAGAAGCCCAGACCACCCCGGGCTCGAAAAACCCACGGAATAGGGGGAGGGCGCGGGGGACCCCACAGTATTGCGAGGCTGATTTACCACCGGGGTGCTGAGGGCTGGTCACCCAATGATTAAATGAAGGAATGGTTGGGTTACACGTGCGGCGAGAGTCTAAATAGTAATTAACCAAGTGTTCTGCTCAGGGCTGGGGGATTGAAAAAAGCAATAAGAAGAGGGAGAATGGGGATAGGTCCTTGGATGGGGATTAATCACTGTTTATTGGGCAGAACTGGACCTTGTGTTGGGTGCTGGTGATACAGCTCAAAGGGGACAAATAGGTGTCCTGCCTTCCAGCTCCTAGTCTGGACAGTGGAGGAGATACACGCCGGTAACTTGGCAATTGCAAGGTGTGGCCAGTGGCCGGTGGGGGCAGCACAAGGGACGATGTGTGCACTTATGAGGGCACAGAACAGATGAGTTTCCCTGACCTCTGAAGAAGGAGGGCTTAGCCAAAACCTGGAGAAATGAGATTTGATAATACTGAGTGGTTTTGAGGTTGGGGTCAGGGAGCTGAGTAGTTAGAGTAGTTAAAAGCCTGTTTTAAGGCTTACCTTTGATTTATTGTTTTCCTGTTAAGGTTGAATCCCAAGAGCAGTGGGAAGCCTTTTCTGGGGGGTCACATTTAAGCAGGTGAGTGACACAATTGACTGCCTTTGCATTTTGAGAAGGTGCCCCCTCCTGCTGCCATGTTGGAGGGAACAGGGAAACAGAAGGAAGAGGGAAGGCTGGTCAAAGTCTGCCCATGAAGACATTAGTGGCAAGACCTGGGCTTTGTCAAAAGGGTGGGAAGCAGCAGATGAACTCAAGAGCTATGTAAAAGATGAAATTGGCAGGATTTGGTGGTAAGAGCTTGGTCTTGAAAGATCTGTTGGCTTTTTAGAAGAAGGTGGGGGTTGATGATGTGACAAAGACAGAGACCACGGGAACCCAGGGGGTGTTAGGAGGAGGACTTCCTCGGTGCAGTATGGTGCTCTGAGTATGCTAGCAAGTGTGTATTCACACATGTACGTTGTTCTGTGATAAAAGCACAGAAGGATGCAGCTGGAACACAGAAACCCCTGGGTATCAAGTGGAGTATCCAGGCCTTGTTTTGCCAGTAATGGGAGCCATGAGATGTTACTGTGTGACTATATGATGGTTCTTGCAGTATTTGGGCATCAGGTTGGGCACAGAGGATGTTCTGAGTTGTGATTATCACCCTACCTACACACCATCCCTCCGAGGTCAGGAGCTGCCAATCTGGCCCCAGATCACCTGCAGTGTGAGTCTGGCTCCTGGAGCACAGACACAAATGGCAAGGGCTTTTTATTCTCTCCACAGGTCTTGGAGCAGCTCTCCATCAACATGGGACTGGAGTCCCCAAGGCTTCCAGGGGCTGAGGAGGCCCCTGTGAGGGTGGCCCTGAGAGTTCGTCCACTGCTACCCAAGGAACTGTTACATGGGCATCAGAGCTGCCTGCAGGTGGAGCCAGGGCATGGTCGAGTCACCCTGGGGCGTGATCGTCACTTTGGCTTCCACGTGGTGCTAGCAGAAGATGCTGGGCAAGAGGCTGTGTATCAAGCCTGTGTGCAGCCCCTCCTTGAGGCTTTCTTTGAGGGCTTCAATGCCACCGTCTTTGCCTATGGTCAGACAGGCTCTGGGAAGACCTATACTATGGGAGAGGCCAGTGTGGGTGAGTGACTATACTGATGACCCTATGCCCAATTTGAAGGGCATCCATGGCTGCCCCTGCTTTCCCTGTTGGAGGTGGAGATACTAGGGGAAGGTAATACAGATTTCCTTGACAGAGATCTGAAGTCCAAGGTGGGACTAGCCACATCAGTGGGTAGATAGGAAGGAAGGGTTTTTGGAGGCAAGTAGATTTCATAGGATGAAGTGAAATGTGGCCGTGCAGCCTGGCTCTGGGGACCTTAGCCGAGGCAGGGCATGGGAAGTTAACATGTCTCTGGAGGTTGTCAGGATGGCTGCTGAGGGTCAGGAATCTGCAATCAGTCCTGCAAGAGAAATGCTTTGGTTGCTGCAGAGAAGATTGCAGGCTGGTTCAGTGAGGCTCTGGAGCAGTTTTGAGAAAGTCCCTATGAGCCAGTTGAAGGAACTGTTCTCTTTTGAGTAACAGACCATTTTCTCTTAGGTTACTGTCTTAGTGCCTTTGGGCTGCTATAAAAGAATATCACAGACTGGGTGGCTTATAAACAGAATTTTATTTCTCACAGTTGTGATGGCTGGGAAGTCTCAAAATCAAAGTTCTGACAGAACTGAGGGGAAGTTTCTTCATAAACAGCTTCCTTCTCTCAAACTTTGCATGGTAAAAGAGAGAAGGGGTCTCCCTCAGTCTCTTTCATTAAAGGCACTGAATCCATTGACGAGGGCTGTGTTCCATGACCTAGTCACCTCACAAAGGCACCTTTCCCTAAGACTAAGACAATTAGGGTAAGGATGTCAACAGGAGAATTTCCGGGGGGACAAACATTTAGAATATAGCTGTTAACAAGAGCATACTTGTTTGCTCAGGAAAATGCAGAAATATATATGCACAAATTAACTTACTTGATAATTGATTTCAAAAATCATTCACCCTGTGAGCATGCCAATACTCTGAGAAAATTATTATACTTTTACTTTTTTAAAAAAATGATTATTTTATGCCCATTCTTTGGTATTTTGTTCCATTTCTTACTAATATATCATAGGACCAGAAGTGTAGCTCAGTGATAATGTATGTACTTAGTGTGCTCAAGGTCATGGTTTATTCCTGGTACTGTGTAAAACAACCAATCAAAACTAAATCTATGTCTATGTCTATATGGATACCTATATATCATGAATATATCTCTGTATCATTAAATATTTTTATTTTTCAGTTCTAGAGACTGCCTCATACTAACAAGTGCTCTAATCAGGAGTTACATCCCCAGTCCTTTCTGTTTTTTATTTTGAGACTTGGTCTTGTTAAATTGCTGAAGCTGGCCTCAAACTTGCAATCCTCCTGCCTCAGCCTCCTGAGTCATTGAGATTACAAATGCGTGTCACTGCACCTGACTTTTTAAAAAATGGCTGCCTGGTATTCCTTTATGAATATAGTATATTTAACCAGATGTCCTATTGAACCCTAGGATGAACACTCCAATTACTTCCTAGGGATAAATTTAGGAGTTCCTTTAATTAACTGAGCATGGACTATGGTAATGAATTCCCTGTCCTGGAATTAATCAAGACAAGGGTATCTGATTATCAGGGACATAATGAAGGGGAAGCTTACATTATAAAAGAGGTTGTTTAAACCATGAAAGGTTGCTTCCAATTTTTGAATTCTGTAATTCTTCCTGACCACCCTGGAACATGGCCTGCCTTAGGCTGACCCTCCCATCCTGGTCTCTAATGTTTTCTCCACACTGGAGTCCTAACCTCCAGTTGCTGGCAGGGACCTAGGGACCTTGGGCCATGTCAGCTGAAGGCATGGTGGTAGGAGGTCCTGTGGTGTCTCCCCAGCCTCCCTGCATGAGGATGAACAGGGCATCATCCCAAGGGCCATGGCTGAAGCCTTCAAGCTTATTGATGAGAACGACCTGCTGGACTGTCTGGTCCACGTGTCCTACCTGGAAGTGTATAAGGAGGAGTTCCGAGACCTGCTGGAGGTGGGCACTGCGAGCCGTGACATCCAGCTTCGGGAAGATGATCGGGGGAATGTTGGTGAGGTCCTCCACTGACTGGGAGTGGGGCTTATGGCATGGCTGTTCTGAGGGCATCGCTCACCTGCCTGGGAGGGGCACCCTCTTAAGGGACTCCCAAGCCCTAGATGGTTTTGCTTCAGTTTCCCCTGTCTCCAGAGGGGGTCAGATGTGAGAGGCATTAATATAGGCATGGGGGGAAGCTGGAGTCCCGCCAAACCCAGAACAGGTTGGGCAGGAGCCCTGGACATGGGGGTGGGGGCCTGGGTCAAGAAAATCAGGCTCTGCTTGCCTTCTTGGCTGGTCAGTCCTAGGCTGCTTCTGCACCTGGCTTACAGTCTTCTGTGCCTACAGTGCTGTGTGGGGTGAAGGAAGTGGACGTGGAGGGCCTGGACGAGGTGCTGAGCCTCCTGGAGATGGGCAACGCAGCGCGCCATACAGGGGCCACGCACCTCAATCGCCTTTCCAGCCGCTCACATACTGTTTTCACCGTGACCCTGGAGCAGCGGGGGCGTGCCCCCAGCCGCCTACCCCGACCTGCAGCAGGCCAACTGCTTGTTTCCAAGTTCCACTTCGTGGATCTGGCGGGCTCAGAGAGGGTCCTCAAGACAGGCAGCACAGGCGAGCGGCTCAAAGAGAGCATCCAGATCAACAGCAGCCTGCTGGCGCTGGGCAATGTCATCAGCGCCTTGGGGGACCCCCAGCGCCGAGGCAGCCATATCCCCTACCGCGACTCCAAGATCACCCGGTGAGCTGGCACACCAATCTACCCTGGGGATAGGGGTGTTGAACCCACCAGTAGGAATGGGCTTCCCTGACTTCTGGGGCGCACTGGCAAGCGCAGTGGGAGGTCTCTGCCCACCGGAGCCGCGTTCAGGAGCGGCTTCTAGGTCTGGCTTTCGGTCCTGGATCGCTAAGACCCTAACCCTCACCGTCGTGCCCTCAGGATCCTCAAAGACTCGCTGGGCGGGAACGCCAAAACAGTGATGATCGCCTGCGTCAGCCCCTCCTCCTCCGACTTCGACGAGACCCTTAACACCCTCAATTATGCCAGCCGCGCCCAGAACATTCGCAACCGCGCTATGGTCAACTGGCGGCCGGAGGCCGAGCGGGCACCTGAGGAGGCGGTGGCGGGTGTGCGGGGGCCACCACGCCACCGCTCCGAGACGCGCATCATCCACCGCGGCCGGCGAGCGCCGGGCCCCGCAGCCAGCTCCGCAGCGGCAGCCGCCCGCCTGGGCGCCGAGTGCGCACGCTACCGGGCGCGCACCAACGCCGCCTACAGCCTCTTGCGCGAGCTGCAGGCTGAGCCGGGTCTGCCTGGCGCTGCCGCCCGCAAGGTGCGCGACTGGCTGTGTGCGGTGGAGGGCGAGCGCAGCGCCCTGAGTTCCTCTTCTGGGCCGGACAGCGGCATCGAAAGTGCCTCAGCAGAGGACCAGGCGGCTCAGGGACCTGGAGGGCGAAAGGCGGCAGAGAGCCAGGTGTGATTGAGAAGGGGTTCGGGAGGAAGAGTGTCTTTAAACAGCCAGTTGTGCCACTTAATTTCGCTGAGCCTCTGGGTCTCTCCATCTGTAAAATGGGGATAAACTTGGTACCATGTCCTTGGTACTGTGTAAGAACTGAAGGTGTAATAAGTGCTTAGCATACTGTCCAAGCATAAGTTGTTCCTGGTAATACTAATATTAACCAAAATATAATTAATAATTACAGGAAATGGCCCAAAATGGCTTGCCATGTGGGATCTGGGGTGCCCTCTCCACCAGTGGGCCTAGATTCCCGATTGCACTGCAGGCAGAGCTCAGAACAGAATGGGAAGTCAGAGTAGGGAAGCAAGGCAGAGAAAGAGCCAGGTTGTGCCAGCTCCTTGCCCCTAAAACCTTCCCCCTTGCTCCACAGGAAGATGAGGGGGCACAGCAGCTACTGAACCTGCAGAGTCAGGTGGCACGGTTGGAGGAGGAGAACCGGGACTTTCTAGCTGCACTGGAGGATGCCATGGAACAGTACAAACTTCAGGTGGGACAATGCCCTTCTACTGTGCAGGGGTGGTTTCTTGGGAGAGGGTGTAGAGGAAGTCTGACCTGAGTTTCTCAGGATGCTAAAGTAGGGAACTGGGGACCAGGAGTGGAGGGACAGTAGAGATGCGGGATCACAACATGAGCCAAAGTGTGGAGGTGAGGAACAGAAGTATGGGTAGGTGTTGAAAATGCCCAGCAGAGCACCTTTGCTGGGTCCCTCGAGGGTGGGACCTGAGGGGCAGCAGTGTGCACCTTAGAGCCAAACCTAACCAGGGCAGCATTGTGCCTGGCACCCTCTGGTGGCGGAGGGTTGGAGGTGGACTGGCTGGTGTGAATTTGAAGAGGGTGGGTCTAGAGCTCCAGTCTCTGGGAATGCAGTGGGTGGGTGGTATGGGAAAGGACTGAGAGGTAGTCAGGGGGATTTGGACTTATTCAGTCTTATTGGGGAGGGGGTCTGGTCTCAGACTTGTCCAGTTTCCTGCACTTATGCCTGTCCATGAGCATCTGTTCCCCTTGCATCCTGGACACCTGTCTTGCATCCTGGACACCTGGACATGTCTTGCAGAGTGACCGGCTGCGTGAGCAGCAGGAGGAGATGGTGGAGCTGCGCCTGCGGCTAGAGCTGGTGCGGCCTGGATGGGGGACTCCAGGGCTCCTGCAGGGCCTGCCTCCTGGGTCCTTTGTTCCTCGGCCTCACACAGCACCTCTGGGGGGTGCCCACATACATGTGCTGGGCATGGTGCCTCCTGCCTGCCTTCCTGGAGATGAAGTTGGCTCTGAGCAGTGGAGTGAGGTGAGGAGGTGGCGAGGTAGGGTGACTGCTGGGCCTGGTTGGACTGGTCAGGCAGGGGAAGGACGATGCCAGCGCACATGTCCTTCACCCATGTTTCCATGGGACCAGCTGTGAGATATAAGGTGCCTCTTTCAGCTGTCCCTAGAGGAAGGACCAAGAGTTGTGTGACTGTGTAGGGCTTCTCAGAAGGGTCCAGTGCTACTGAATATTGTTTGGAGTGAGGAGGTTCTGGCTTCTGGCACCGTGTGGAAAGCTTGCACCCCTGGAGATGGAGAGGTCATCACTTTGAGGCCACTCCCTCTGTCTTTGGATGGTTCTCTTTGCAAGTTAACTCTAACATGAGCCCTAATATTTCTCCATGAGTCTTGGTCTCTTGCTTCTAGTCCTGCCACTTGGGGCCTTTGGGACAAAGTCTACTCTAGTGTTGCCTTTAAGCTCTAGGACATCTCAGCTGTGAAGGTCTAAGAGGACTTGGGTTGGGTGGAAATCTTTATATGCATCAGTCTAGGATGCTATTGTTAATGTGATAGAATTTGGGTGCCAATGATCTATCTGTGAGATAGAGCAGGTTGTCACCCGAGGAGAATCAGGGGCTATGGGAGCTGGTGATGAGGAGGGAAGGAGGAGGCAGGAGAGTGCTGGTACCCCAGCTTGAGGTTGGGAAGGCTTCCAAGTAGCATTCTTTGAACTAGATCTTTAAGGTGTTGTAGGGCACACTGCAAAAACAGACTTGGGGTGAGAAATGGCTCCTGAAGGATGCCCTGCAGGTACTCCTGTCCTGAAACCCTGACGCCTCCCCGCTAGCAGGTGACAAATGGCAAGGAGGCTAGAGCTGAGTTGCCAACTGAGGCAGACAGACTGGGCAGTGGCTCTTCAGCAGCATCAGAGGAGGAAGTGGAGGAAGAGGAGGAGCCGCCCACACAGACCTTGCACCTGCGCAGGTGAGTGGGACCTCTGCCCGATCTGACAAGGACTAGCTCAGGGCCAATGCAGGGCTGAGTGAGGATCCAGGGAGGCTTCTCAAGTCCCAGGCACTCTTGCCTACATGGCCCTTGCCATCCCTTGCGGGAGAGCAGGCCAAGGGCTGTGGGCTCTGGACTATAAGGTCTTACTGGGGTGGTGTGATGTGGGGGGTGGGCAGGCCTCTAGGTGCTCAGCCTCCAAGGGAGTATTTGGTTCCTGGGACTCCTGAGCTCTGTCCCTGGCCTCTGAATTCTTCCAGACTTACATCCTGGGGTCACATTGATTCTGGGGGCTGGAAGGCCCAGAGGCCTCTCCTCCTAAGAGAGGCTAAGCTGGGGCAGGGGCTTGAGGGAGAATAGGGACCCCTGCTTCTGCCCTCCAGAAATGGGATCAGCAATTGGAGCCAGAGGGCGGGGGTTCGCCCAGGGAGCCCACCAGACAGGAAGGGCCCAGAGCCTCACCTTGGAGAACTGGATGCTGCCATTCCAGGGCCCAGAGGTAAGCTGGGTGGGCTGTAGAGGAGGTCCCCTACCTTTATGCCTCCTCCCCAGTTCTGGGTGGGCCATCCTGGGACAGATCACACACCATCACTGGCAGCCCCCTCCCTCACTCTCAGTCTGGGTGATGACCTTGACAGTCTGCCTGTTACAGCAGTTGGTGGGAGCAAGGCCCCAATTCAGAGCCGCCAGGCCCTTGCCGCCATGGCCTCTGAATGGCGGCTGGCCCAGGCCCAGCAGAAGATCCGGGAGCTGGCCATCAATATCCGCATGAAGGAGGAGCTCATAGGCGAGCTGGTCCGCACAGGTGAGGGGGAGCATTACAGTGAGTCTCCCACCTGAAGGTGATTTCCTATCTATTACTTCTCCTGTACTGTTTTTGAGAAGGTTCAGAAATGAGATGGTTAGGAGCAGGGACCAGAAGGCCTACATGTGAAACTCAGCTTAGCCTCTACTAGCTGAGTGACCTTAAGCAAGTATCATAACCTCTCTGTGCCTCAGTTTTCTCATCTCTACCTACTTTGTAGGGTGGTTGTGAGAGTGAAATGAGTCAGTTCAGGTAAAGTGCTTAAAATAGCTCTCAGTAACCAGGCAGGGGTGGTATATACCTGTAATTCCTGTAACTCAGGAGACTGAAACAGGAGGATCGAAAGTTCAAGGCCAGCCTCAGCAACTTAGCAAGACTCACCATGCCTGGCTATTGCTGGTATATTTTGAAGCAAATCCCAGACACAATGTCCTTTCATCTCTACACCTTCTAGTATATCTCTCTAAAAATTTGGACATTATTTACCTGACATAATGCCATTCCATTAGCAAAGTTAACAAAACTCAAGTCCTCTTCTTTCTTCCTTCAGTGTTTAGAATCAAAAGCAGAAGAGCCTCATGCATGCTAGGGAGGCATTCTGTCACTGAAAACTCGTGTCCTCTTAATTTCCAGAGCATAAGCACATTCCCTCAATTATTCAACAATGTCTTCATAGCTGGTTTGCTTGAATTAGCCTCCAAATCGGGTCCAACACATATCATATTTGCTTTTTAGATTTCTGAAGTTTCCCTTTTTCTCCCTTCTTCACAGTCATCCTGTAGAATGTGCCAGACCCCAAATATCTTGGGTTAGACTGTTTGCTTCCTTATGGTGTCATTTTAACTTATTCCTCTGTCCTCCATATTTCTTGCAAGTGGAAGCTAATTCTAGAGGCTTAATTATATGCAGGTTCAAGATATGTATTTATTTTGGCACATATAGGTAAAAATATAATTAGGTAACTTGTATTTGTCTTGGGTCACTGCTGTGGATGAGGCTCATTTAAAAAGTGAGTTGATTTAAAGAAAAAAGTCACAGTACTGGTGGAACAAAGGCTTGGTACAGCCCATGGAGATGTTCGTGGCTAACAGGGCTTGGGAAGGGGCTGGTGGCCCTCTTTGGGGAGAGTGGTCACCTGGGCTGATGTGGCCCACTCTCTTCCAGGAAAGGCAGCCCAGGCCCTGAACCGCCAGCACAGCCAACGCATCCGGGAGCTGGAGCAGGAGGCAGAGCGAGTGCGGACTGAGCTGAGTGAAGGCCAGAGACAGCTGCGGGAGCTGGAGGGCAAGGAGCCCCAGGATGCTGGCGAGCGGTCCCGGCTCCAGGAGTTCCGCAAGAGGGTTGCAGCAGCCCAGAGCCAGGTGCAGGTCAGTGTTGGGGCCTTAGGGGCCAGAGGATGGGGGCATCAATGACCTCCCGGGATGGGGTCCCTCGGACCGGGATATGTGATTCCAGAGCCCTAGCCCATTGTGGAACCTGTGTATGCTCGGAACCTCATGCACCACCCCTGGGTGCTGGGGCTAACTCCCTCCAGGCTCCCCAGGGTGGGGCTAGTATTGTACAGAAGCTAAGGTTGACTTCGTATTCCACACAACAGAGGCAGAGAGTCAGGTCCTGCCTGAAGACCACGTAGGAGACCAAGAGAGGGTGAGGGTGGGCATCCAAAGAAAAACTACTATGCAGCCCTCTGTCCATCCAGCAACAGGTCGCCTCCCAGTGCCCCATTCACTCCCCTTCCATCCCATCCTCCCTTTCTGTCTACCTGTCAGTTCATGTTACTCTTCTTACCCATCATCTTTCTGGCCTTTCATCAGTTGATTGATCGACTGTCTATTTATCCACATATGAACCACCCTTCCATTCCCTTTTATCAATTCATGCATTATCTATCTGTATTTGTGTGCTAAAGTAGCAAAACATAGTATTTATAGTCTGGTTGGCTTAAACAACACAAGTTCAAATTTGTGTGTGTGTGTGTGTGTGTGTGTATTGAACCCAGGGGTGCTGTACCTTTGAGCTACCTCCCCAGCCCTTTTTATTTTATTTTGAAACAGAGACTTGCTAATTTGTCCAGGCTGGCCTCAAGCTTGTGATCTTGCCTCAGTCTCCTGAGGCACTAGGATTACAGGTGTGCACCGCCACACCTAGCTCAGAAGTTTAATTTCTCATAACTCAGAAGTTTACTTTCTTATAATTCTTACACTTCTTAAAGCTCTGGAGGCTAGAAATCTGAGATCAAGGTGTCCATGGGTCTGGCTCCTCCTGAGGCCTCTCTTCTTGGTTTGCAGATAGCTACCTTCTCACTGTGTCTTTCCCTGACTCTCCTCTGCATCCCTCGTATCTCTACCTCTTCTTAGAAAGACACCGATCATATTTGGTTAAGGCCCCACCCTTCTGACCTCATTTAAACTTAATGACCTCTTTTAAAATTCTATTTCCAAATATAGTAACATTTTGAGCTTTAGAGGCTTGGGCTCCCACTTAGGAATTTTTTTAAATCTGATTTTTTATATATGACAACAGGATGTAGTACAATTCATATTACACATATAGAGCACAATTTTTCATATCTCTGGTTGTGTACAAACTATATTCACACCATTCGTGTCTTCATACATGTACTTTGGATAATGATGTCCATCTCATTCCACCATCATTTCTAACCCCCTGCCCTCTCCCTTCCCCTCCCACCCCTTTACCCTATCTAGAGTTCATCTATTCCTCCCATGCTCCCCCTCCCTACCCCACTATGAATCAGCTTGATGCTAGTTATTTTAATGAATCATAATAACAGCCATTATTTATCAGGTGGTTAGTATGTGCCCAATACTGTTAAAACTGTTAAAACACTTCATGAACTAGATTTCTTTTTAAAATTATGTTTGTTGAGATATAATTTATATATGGTAAAATTTGTCCTATTTAGTTTTATAGTTATATGAATTTTGATAACAAATATAAAAAATGACAACATGTAAATATGGATATATAGTAGTACTACAGTGAAGATATAGAATATATTACCTTGTTTTCCTTCTTTTTTAAACAAATAGAGAAATTAGTTTTAACATATTTTCATTTACCCAATGGATTACCAACATAATTTGCAAAGAAAATAATTGTTAGTAAAGATATTTCATGTTCATTTTCTTTGTTCTAGTAATTCTTTGGAATCTAATGTCTATTTAACAGATAGCACACCTCAATTCAGACTAGACACATTTCAAATGCTCAGTGGCCTCATGTAACCAGTGGCTGCCATATTGGCTCCTTTCTCCATCTTTCGCCTTTTGGTGAGACATATGCTATAGGCTACATGATGAATCCCTTGTTATGTGGTTTCTTGTTGAGTTCCACTAGAAAGGGACACCAAAGAGATGAACTTAGAATATACAAGAATAGAGCAAGGTGTTTTATTCCTCCCTATAAGACTCTAGACTGTGAGTTGGTTTCCACATGCTTTTGGTGGGAATAACTTCAGTTAGGTTACATTCTCGTACGAGTTTTTCATAATGGTTCTCTCTTCCTTCATCTCCTACCTCTCCAAGTTTATGGAAGGAAACGTGCTTTACAAAATTTGTTAGTTTCCCTCAAGCTTGCCCTTACCTTTATAAATACCTTATTAAACAATTTTTACTCTGATTGATCTTTTTCATCCTTGAATCTTGAATAATGGATTTTTAATTATAAGAGATTTTTAATTATAAACTTCATCTCATATTACAGGCAATGTATATACACATACCAGATTAATTATATATTAAAATATAACGTATAAGATGCTAAAACTTTAAAAAAATATATTTTATTTTATTTATTTATTTTTATGTAGTACTGAGGATCAAACCCAGTGCCTCACACATGCAAGGCAAGTGCTCTACCACTGAGCCACAACCCCAGCCCTGATGCTAAAACTTTTAAAGAAAATATTTGTGTAACTTTGTGAAGAGAGATGGAAAACAAAAAAATACAAAATAAACAAAAACCTGAAAAATTAAATGAATATTGTAGTTAAAATTTTTATGTGAAAAAATTTATCCAAAAGGGTTGAAAGAGACATGAATTGTATTACAGGCCATTTTTGTTTATTTTTTTGATATTTAGTTTGACTTGATTTCTCCTTTGGTTGGCTTTTCCTTTATTGTAATTCTTCCCTTTGCAGATTTTCATTGTTGTTTTTCATTCTCTCCTTATGGAATATTTTGCCAAGAATTTTCTGTATTGCAGGCTTTCTTGCTGTAAATTCTTTTAGCTTTTGTTTATCATAGAAGGTTTTTATTTCATTGTCAAACTTGAAGCTTAATTTTGCTGGATGTGATTCTTGGTTGGCATCCATTATCTTTTAGAGCTTGGTATATGTTGTTCCTGGATTTCCTGGCTTTGAGAGTCTGGATTGAAAAATCTGCTGAGATCTGAATTGGTCTTCCCTTATAGGTAATCTGATTTTTCTCTCTTGCAGCCTTTAAAATTCTAACCTTATTCTGTATGCGGGGCATTTTCATTATAATGTGTCTTGATGTAGATCTGTTGTAATTTTGTACATTTGGTGTCCTATAGGCCTCTTGTATTTGATTTTCTAGTTCATTCTTGTTGCTTGGAGATTTTCTGCTATTATTTCATTGAAGAGATTGTGCATTCCTTTGGTTTGAATCTCTGAAACTTCCTCTATCCCAATAAATCTTAAATTTGATCTTTTGATGGTATCCCATAATTCTTGGATATTCTGTTGATGATTTCTTATTATCTTCACTGTGAAGTCAACTTTATTTTCAAGATTGTATATTTTGTCTTCATTGTCTGAGGTTCTGACTTCCAAGTGATCTAGTCTGTAGGTGATGCTATCTATTGATTTTTTTTTTTTAAAGAAAGAGAGAGAGAGAGAGAGAGAACATCTTTATTTTATTTTTATGTGGTGCTGAGGATTGAACCCAGCGCCCCGCGCATGCCAGGCGAGTGTGCTACTGCTTGAGCCACATCCCCAGCCCCAATCTATTGAGTTTTTTAAATTGGCTTATTGTTTTTTTTTTATTTCAAGGATTTCTGTTTGATTTTTTTCCCCTCAGTATCTCTATCTCTTTGTTGAAATAATCTCTTGCAACCTGTATTTGCTCTCTTATCTCTTTGTTGGAGTGATTGATTTTTGCCTGTATCTGCTCACTTAGTCATTCTTTAATTCCCAAATCATTTTAGTTATGTGTATTCTGAACTCCTTCTCTGACATTTCACCTACTGCACTATCTATGGATTTTATTGTTGTAGTATTTTGGTTTGTTTGGGGCACTTTCCTCCCTTGTTTTTTCATGATGTCTAAGAGTCTTCCTCTCTTGCAGTGTAGATCTGAGGTATGACAGCTTCTGCCCTATTGTCTTATAGTGTCACTATAGATTACTAATACCTCACTTTTAAGGGGGAGAATCAGTATTATAGCACTCATTGTACCCAATGTGCAGCCATATATTGGTTAGCTTCTATTTTTACATTTACAGTTTTGTCACTAAAATCAGAAATGATGAGTTCGGTTATCTTCTGCCTTTTAGTCAATAGGTTTGCATAATGGTTTACAGTTTCTAATAGTAGGAGGGGGCCTAGGGGGTTGGCTGAGATGTGTATGAGGTAGGATGTTAGAATATGGAAGTATTAGATTATATGACTAGTGAGAGGGTAATCATAAGAAGTTGGCTGTTAGTAGGAGAAACAAGAGATAGGCAACCCCATGCAAGACTCCCTGTTACCTCAGCAATAGGATAACTGTTAGCACCCCTAGAAGAGAAACCTCTGGTGCAGCCAGGCCCACAGGGACCTTGGTGATGTCTTACCAGGTCCTTATTATTGTCCCTTGATAGAAGCAGCAATATCCCAGTTTTGTGACGGTGGCAGCCTCAAGCCTATATGTACCCTGATGTTGGGCTGTGGAGCCATGCTTTGGTGAATAAGGAACCCCAATGTATGTGTGGGGGGCTTACTGCATATCTCTGGGGTGGGCCTCTCCTCTGGAACTCTCCATATAGGAATTTTAGGGGACACAATTTTACCCCATAATACTATCCATCCTAATTTTTACCTTCACACGACCTGCTCACCTCTCCATCCACCCTTCCATCCATCCATCCCTCATTCATTTCTTCCTTTCTCAGTTTAGGGGTCCAAGAGGAAATAAAATAGAGTGGTTGAGAATATGGGCTCTGGAACTGACTGCCTGGGGTTGAACCCCATTTCTGCTACTTACTAGCTGTGTATTCTTGGTCAAGTTCCCGAACTTCTCTGTGTCCCAGTTTCCTAACCTGTAAACTACGGTTAATAACTGTCATACATTTTCATAGGTTTGTTAGGATCATTTAATACATAGAGTACTGCCCACCCTTGGTGAGTGCCAGGTACTACACTGGGCATGCACTAGCCCCTGTGCCTGGCCCAGTGAAGTCTGTATGGGTCCCAGGCATTGAAGGAGAAGAAGCAGGCAACAGAGCGGCTGGTGTCGCTGTCAGCCCAGAGTGAGAAGCGGCTGCAGGAGCTGGAGAGAAATGTGCAACTCATGCGGCGGCAGCAGGGCCAGCTCCAGAGGCGACTTCGTGAGGAGACAGAGCAGAAGCGGCGCCTGGAGACAGAGATGCACAAGCGGCAACACCGTGTCAAGGTCAGCCTGGGCCCCAGACGGGCGCCCTGTTTGAGCAGGAAGCAGAGCCAGTCTCAGCCTAAGGCACCCAGACAGGCACTCACCTGCTCCCACCATCCCACCCAGGTGATCCTAGGAAGTAGCTCAGATATTTTTTTTCTCTGAAAATGAGGAGCACGTAGGAAAGTGAGAGTTCAGGGAGGTGAAGCGTGGAGGTGCTGGCAGCTCCTGGGGACAAGTGTTCGTATCTGTTTGCTGGGGAACACTTGCAGGATGGTCTCAGGAGTGGGGCAGGCTCTCTTGGTGGTTTGGGGCATCACTCTGGGCAGCTCTGGAAGGATGCCCCCTCCCCACCGGGCGTCCTCCCCCAGGAGCTGGAGCTGAAGCATGAGCAGCAGCAAAAGATCCTGAAGATCAAGACAGAAGAGATTGCAGCCTTCCAGAGGAAGCGGCGCAGCGGCAGTAATGGCTCCGTGGTCAGCCTGGAGCAGCAGCAGGTGGGCTAAACTGAGCCTGCTTTGTCACCATGAGCTCTGCAGCCTGGCTGGGCAGCCCTGGCTTATTGCCCAGGGGTTGGCTGCTGGGTCTGCCATCTCCTCATTGGAACTCAAGGGGCCGCCCTCCAGCCAGAGTTGGGAACTAAGGTCCCGCTTTGCCTCCCCACTCTCCCTCAGAAGATAGAGGAGCAGAAGAAGTGGCTGGACCAGGAGATGGAGAAGGTGCTGCAGCAGCGACGGGCACTGGAGGAGCTGGGGGAGGAGCTCCATAAGCGGGAGGTCATCCTGGCTAAGAAGGAGGCCCTGATGCAGGAGAAGACGGGGCTGGAGAGCAAGCGCCTGCGGTCCAGCCAGGTGAGGTCCTAATAGGTGAGGTTTAGCCAAGTGAAGACCCTCCAGGTAATAACCCGCCAGGTGAGTTTCTGCCAGGTGATGTGCCCATTAGTGAGGTCTGGACAGGTGAATGTCTTCTAGTTGATGTCCCTGCCAGCTCAGATCTAGGTAGGTGGGGTTTTAGGTGATGTCTTCGCCAGATAAGATCTAGGCAGGTGAAGCTCTGTCCTATGGATCCTCAAGAATTCTAGGGCCTTAGGATATTAATGCACATGTACTGATATGTGGGACACAAGTATCCATCCTACAATCTATTCACCTCATTAACCATTTATTTGGATCCTGTACAAGCAGAATAGGAGGAGCAGGTGTAGGTAGTGGTACAACCAACTAGAAAGAGACTCCCTAAACTTTGGAGGCAAGCAGGCCTGGGCAGATGGACCTGGGTCCACTGGTATCATTTTTCCATCTTGAACTCAGATTCTGAGCTGGTTTCTTTTTGTCAAATGGGATCAGAATGTAGCCATAAGGATTAGAGGGAATATGTCAGATCCAAAGCCTGTTCCAGCACTGGTACTTAGGCCAGATTACAGAACGTTGGCACCTGCAGAGAGAGCAGGAACACCGCCCCAATTACCGTGGAGAGTTCTGAGATCCAACAGGTGTGAGGTGCTGCTGGATGATCTGTAACTTCTGTTGGCCATTAGTGCCCTTGCATTCTTCCATATCAGCCTCCTGGAAAGGCTTTTGGGATTTGGCCATTAATTTCTTGTAGCGCTTTCATACACAGTCCAGCCAAATCGTCTCAGTGACAGGCCACTGCCCCCCAGCTCTGCCTTTGCCCATGTTATCCCCTCTTGCTACCAGGGCCTCTTCCTTCTGCTTGTCTGTGTTCTCCAGGCCATTTCTGAGGGCCCCAGCACAGATGCTGTGGTCCCGAGGGCCCCCAGTTCCCAACCTTCTGTGAACTAAAAGTCAGGCCTCCTGCTCAGCAAACATCTGGACTTGGGGTTTTTTTTGAGGGAAGGACCTGCATCCCTCTTAGCATTCAGTGAGTAGGTTGGGCCTGTTCTGTCCCCACTGTGAGGATGGCACTTGTTCCTTCCCTAATCCATGGTGGTGCTGCCCCCAGGCCCTGAATGAAGACATTGTGCGAGTGTCAAGCCGGCTGGAACATCTGGAGAAGGAGTTGTCCGAGAAAAGCGGGCAGCTGCGACAGGGTAGTGCCCAGAACCAGCAACAGATCCGAGGGGAGATTGACACCCTGCGCCAGGAGAAGGACTCTCTGCTGAAGCAGCGCCTGGAGATTGACAGCAAGCTGAGGCAGGGTAGCCTGCTGTCACCCGAGGTACATCCTGAGGGTGGCCACCCAACTCAGCTGCTCCACCTCAGCCCTCTGCTCCCAGCATCCATCTTCCTCAGCCCCCTCTCCTGGCTCTCTGTAGGTGCTGGCCCTGCTGTTGGGGACGCAGGCTCTCTGTGTGTGTTAGGCCCTGCACAGTGTGGGAGGGGCTGAGATGGCTGCTCCCTGCTTCAGCGCCCTTGACTGAGACACAGAGTCAGCTCCCAGTCTGTGCTACACTTGACCCGATACTCGCATGTCTTAACTCTGCGTGTAAAATCGTGTCAGGAGCATGCTTAACATGCCTCGTGGCCCACGTGGACTTGCTTCTCCAAGCAGAGAGAAAGCCTATGCTGCACGGACTCACCCAGGAGCCCCGCCTCCTGTTCAGTGTTGGGTGCTGGGAGCTCCTGAGTGTGGTGTGAGCTTGAGAAAGCCTCCTCCTAGCAGTCACTGCCCTCACTCTGGGTTGGGCTTTGACCCAGGTGTCCCTGTTGGTATCACAGTGAACAGGATTACATTTCTCTTGATGGGCTCAGGACAGTCTCATGTTGAGGGGACACTGAAGACCTCACTGTGGATATGTCTTGACCACTGCATGCCCGCTCAGGACTTTGATGTTCAGGAAGCCCAGTACTTGCCCTCCATGTGTGCCCCTCTCCCCCCAGGAGGAGCGGACACTCTTCCAATTGGATGAAGCCATAGAGGCCCTGGATGCTGCCATCGAGTACAAGAATGAGGCCATCACGTGTCGCCAGCGGGTGCTGCGGGCCTCAGCCTCCTTGCTGTCCCAGTGTGAGATGAATCTCATGGCCAAGCTCAGCTATCTGTCATCCTCAGAGACCAGAGCCCTGCTCTGCAAGTATTTTGACAAGGTGGGTTACCAGCCACAAGCCCTCTGCCTCCATCTTCTGCAACTTGGGTGGCAGAGATGTCTGCTTGGCAGTTCCAGTGAATACTCCCTTTCCTTCTGAATGGGACACGGGATCAAGACTACCTCCAGGCCAGTCCTCCAGTCCTCACCCTTTGGAAGCCTGCCTTGCTTAGTGCAGCTAAGACCCAGGCTCCTTCCCCATTTCTCGTCTGATTGCCAATTTCAGGGTGGCCCTTGCCCAGATCATGGGTCTCAAGAGAGGATGGTTTGTCCCCTCGGGACATGTTTGGAGATACTTTTGGTTGCCATGGGGGTAGAGGCCAGGGACGCTGCTAAACATCCTACAGCGCACGGGACAGGCCCTACCATCAAGAATCATCCAACCCAAACACTAATAATGCAGAGAAGTCCTGGCCTAGGTGATTTTTCACAGCTGAGACTGTGCCCCAAAAGCTAGAAACACGTGATGGGAAAGGATTTGAGACAGGATGACAAGGTCCATCTTGAGAATCAGCTCTGGTCACGTGGAACCACAGTCTGGAACTCAGTTGAGAAGGTGTCTGAAGCCACTTGGTTGGGCAGGTGTTTTAGTCAGCTTTTTTTTCTTGTTATCAAAAGACCCAATAAGAACAATGTAGAGGAGGAAAAGTTGATTTTGGCTCACAGTTTCAGAGATTCAGTCCACAGTTGGCTGACTCCTTAGCTCTGGGCCCAAGATGGAGCAGAACATCATGGTGTATGGGTGTGGCTGAGGAAAGCAACCAGGAAGCAAGGACAAAATATAAACCCCAAAGGCATGGCCCCAGTGAACTACTTCCTCCAATCACACCCTACCTGCCTATAATTACCACCCGTTTACCCTATTAGTGGCTCTCATAATCTAATCGTTTTACCCCTGAAAATTCTTGCATTGTCTCATACGTGATCTTTTGGGAGACACCTCGTATCTAAACTATAGCAGCAGAAAAGACCCTGGTGATTTCTCAGTGCCTTGTGCCATGGGGCCAGGTTTGCCAGCACTTGGTACCCCTGGCTGAGGGTAACTTGCTACTCCTGATGGGGGATGGAGCCGGAAGGGGGACTGAGCCTGGCTGGTCTCGGGCAGGTGGTGACACTGCGAGAGGAGCAACACCAGCAGCAGATCGCCTTCTCAGAGCTGGAGATGCAGCTGGAGGAGCAGCAGAGGCTGGTGTACTGGCTGGAGGTGGCCCTGGAGCGGCAGCGCCTGGAGATGGACCGCCAGCTGACCCTGCAGCAGAAGGAGCATGAGCAGAACGTGCAGCTGCTCCTGCAGCAGGGGCGGGGTGAGCAGCCAGGGGCCCCAAGGCTCGGGACTCGGCTGCCTGCCTGCAGCCCCTCACCCCGTCTCTTCTGCCTTTCCTCACTAGACCACCTCGGCGAAGGGTTAGCAGACAGCAAGAGGCAATACGAGGCCCGGATTCAAGCCCTGGAGAAGGAACTGAGCCGCCACATGTGGATAAACCAGGAGCTGAAACAGAAGCTCAGTGGGGGGAATGCTGCCGTCCAGAGCAGGGGTGACTGTCTCCCCCCCATGTTGGGTCTACCCTGCTGTGACATTCCTTTGTCTGGGGAGCACTAACAAACCATCCTTACTTGTGTTTTTATTGGCTCATTTCTCAAATTTCTTATTGTGCTGTGGTGTCGGGAGGCTAGACTCCAGCACAGTGTTGCCACCCATTTCTGACAAGGACATGCTGTTTTCTGTGACAGGTGGGGAGAGGAAGAGCCTCTGCCTGGACAACAGATCAGGGCCTGGAGGCGAAGACGGGCTCCACGCAGCAGTACCTGAGCTTCTCTGGCAGTCCTCCCTCCTGGAAGGGGTCCCCCGTGCCCGGGAGGAGCCTCGGGACTTGGTCCACGCCCCATTACCCCTAACATGGAAACGCTCCAGCCTGTGCAGCGAGGAGCAGGGCTCCCCCGAAGAGCCAAGGCCACGGGAGGCACCAGAGCCCCTGGTTGGGCGGGTGCTCTCTGTGGGTGAAGTGGGGCTGCCCTGGAACTTTGGACCTTTGTCCAAATCCCGAAGGGAGCCAAGAAGAGCCAGCCCAGGGATGATCGATGTCCGGAAAAACCCCCTGTAGGACCTTGGGACCTTGCCTCAGAGAGACATTCCCATCCCACTAAAGATGCAATTGCCTGCAGTTTGCTTCTGTGGAGGACAGCCCTTACCTCACTACCTGAATCCAGGTCCTCATGATTAATTGGAGTCAACAGATTTGGGCCACAGCCCAAAAGAACTGGTCTTTTAACCTTTTTTCTGGGGTACTAGAGATCAAACCAAGGGCCTTGTGCATGCTAAGCATGCACTCTTCCACTCATTTTTTAATATTTTGTAAATTCTGCAGGGTGAGGTGGTACACACCTATAATTCTAGCAGTTCAAAAGGCTGATGCAAGAGACTTACAAGTTCAAAGCCAGCCTCAGCAACTTAGGGAGGCCCTAAGCAACTTAGTAAGGCCTTGTTGCTAAATAAAAATAAAATGGACTGGGGATGTGGCTCAGTGGTTAAGCACCCTTGGGTTCAATTCCTGGTATAAAAAAAAAAAAAAAAAAGAAAGTAAATTTCTATCCTCCCACTTCCTTTAAGCTGCAGAACCTGATTGTCTCCTGTTAACTTACTCAAGTTTCATGACAATTCTGGCTTCAGGCATAACCCTCTGCCCATAGTTCTTGGGTTCAACCAGGGTTGTCACAAAATTTTCAGTGGCAACAGGGTTGTAGTTTAAGTGGTCTTATGTAGATGGCAGAACTGGGAAACATAGCATGTTTTTAGAATTTTAAAAACATTTCATAAGGGATTCCACCTCTTGGGTCCCCTTCTTCCTCCGGGAGAAGTCTTTTCTGCTGTCCTTTAATAAACTTCTAATTCCTACTCTGAAAAAAAAAAACATTTCATAATAAACAGAAATAATCTCTTGTTATGATTTGGATCTTAAATGTCTCCCAAATGCTTTGTGTTAAAGGCTGGTCCCTAGCTTATGGCACAGTTGGGAGGTGGTGGAACCATTACGTGGGGCCTAGTGGAAGGCAGTTAGGTCACTGAGGGACATACCCTTGAAGGGGACAATGGGGCCCTTTCCTCTCTTTCTCTCTGCTTTCTGGCTGCCGTAAGAGCAGCTTTGCTCCACCCCGTGCTCTGTACCTGGTGTTCTGCTCACCAGAGGCTCCAGAACAATGGAACCAATGGACCATGGACTGAAACCTTAGAAACTATGAGCCAAAATTAACCTTTTCCTCCTTTTAAGTTATTTATCTCAAGTATTTGTTCCAGTGACAGAAAGCTAACACAGAAAATTGGTACCTAGAAGTGGGGCTATTGTTACTGAATCTGCATATTTTTTCCCTCCTCAACACCATTCACAAATAACCAAACATTTCTAAGAGCAGAAAGAAAATTTTATTCAATGGCCAATGAATGGAGAAGGGGAACTTGTGCTCTAAAGTCACCTTTTTTCCAAGGAGGTCTGGGCTCTGGATTTTTACCAAAACTTGGTTATGAGGAGGTGTGGCATGTGTCCTGTTATGAGAGCTTGACATGGAAAGGGGAAGTTTCCAGGGACCAAGTGTATTAGGGTTTTCTATAGGAACAGAATCAGCAGGAAGTATCATTATAAAAGGGGGACTTATTTGTTAAAAAAAAAACTGTCTTTTCTCCAAAGATGTTTTTGGCACTTTGTCAAGGATCATATGACTGTGTCTGAGTTGTGTGTTTTCTATTCTGTACCATTGGTCTATGTATCTGTTTTTATGCCAGTACCATGCAGTTTTGTTACTATGGCCCTGTAATATAATTTGAAGTCAGTTATTGTGATACCTCCAGCATTGCTTTTTTGTTTTTGGCTTAAAATTGCTTTGGTTCTTCTGGGTCTTTTATTCTTCCAAATGGAGTTTAGCACTGTTTTTTCTAGTTCTATGAAAATGTCAGTGGTATTTTGATGAAGATTGCATTGAATCTGTGTTTTAGTCAGCTATTTTGCTGCTGTGACTAAAAGACCCAACCACGCCGGGTGCAGTGGCCTGTGATCCCAGCCACTCTGAGACAGGAGGATCTGGAGTTCAAAGCCAGCCTCAGCAATAGCGAGGCGCTAAGCAACTCTGTGAGACCCTGTCTCTAAATAAAATATAAAATAGGGCTGGGGATGTGGCTCAGTGGCCGAATGTGTCTGGGTTCAATCCCTGGTACCCACCCACCCTCAAAAAAGACCCAACCAGAACAATTGTAGAAGAGGAAAAGTTTATTTAGGGGCCCACAATTTCAGAGGTCCTAAGGTAGTCGGTTGTAGGGTTGGTATGAGGGAGTGGTGAGTCTTTCTCAGAAATGCTCTAGGGCAGGAAAGCGAGATTTTTCTTAAAATGGCAGCTGTCACTTAAGATGGCCAAGATGCTAAGCAAGGACCTTATAGAGGGTCAGGAAACTGAACAGGTGGGCATGGCTACATTCAAGGACTAAGCCTGGGAAGGACATATTTGTGGGCAGCAGAGCATGTGAGACATGTGGAGGGTTGACTCCCTTAGAATTCTTGGGAAGCTCCTGAGATCCAGATTAGCATCTACTGGACCCTAGGGGTATGTTGGTCTAATCTCTCCAGAGCAGATACCATCCAGCAAAGTCTCTAAGGTCTGATTAGTCTTAGATTTAATCCCCTCTTAGAATCCCCACCCTGGGAGTGCATTGATCTGGTGTGTCCTGACAAAACTTCAACCAATGGCACTATCGAGTCTGTCCTACCTTATACTGGTGAGAAGTAAAGTGAAAGGCTATTTCACCCAGCTTCAGTTTTAGGCCACTCCAGTTGGCAGCTTGGTGAGCACACAAAAAGAAAAGGGCTGGGGCTGCAGTAGAGGCTCAGTGGCAGAGCGCTTGCCTGGCATGTATGAGGCCCTGGGTTCAGTCCTCAGCACCACATATAAATAAATGAATAAAATAAAAGATCTATTGACAACTAAAAAATATTTTTAAAAAAGAGAAAGAAAAGGGTTAACAACGCCCAGCCCTTGTTCTCTTGTGCTTTCTCAGTACATCTTGAAAGAAGGACAGTTGGGCACAGGTGATGATGTTTTTGAGCACCTCAGTGGAGACAATTCTTTCATTTTTCATTAAGAATCTTTTTTTCCATCTCTGGGTGCTATGGCTCATGCCTGTAATCCTAGCCACCAGGAGGCTGATACAAGAGGAGCACAAGTTCCAGGCCAGCCTTAGCAACGTAGTAAGGCTCTGAATGTGAGATTGTTTCTCAAAATAAAAAGAGTTAGGAATCTGGCTAGTACTAAAGCACCTCTGGGTTCAATTCAATCCCTAGTACCAAAAACAAACAACAAAAAGGTTTTTTTTTGTTTTTGTTTTTTGTTTTTTTTTTTAAGATGTTCTTGGTGTGATACACACCCACACATTTCTTTCTCATTTTTAGCTCTTTCTGTATGTGTGTGTGTGTGTGTGGTGCTGGGGATTGAATTTAGGGTCTCTTGTATGCTAGGCAAGCTGTCTACCATTGATCTGCTTCTCCAGCCCTTTATTTTTAAACAATTGTTATTATTCCTTGTCTTTTGGAGGGTTAGGGTTTTTAGTTTGATTTTTTTCCTCTTGTTTCTCTCCTTCTCCAACAGCCAAATTCTCTTGTTCTCTCTCTCTTTACTTCTTTTTTTCTCCTTCTTTATAGCCATCACTTGCTACATCTTTTGTTTTGCTTTATTTACATTTTGAACATTCTAAACTTTCTTTTACCTTCCTATCACATTTTCTTTTAATGAAATGCATTTTTACCATTTTTTAGAACTATTTAGTTTATAAATCATGCATGTTGTTTCTGTTATTAGGATGATTGATGTCATAGTTGACACCTGCTGTTTACTTTAATGCCAGATCTAATTCATGGCTATTTACTGTTTCTTCTGTTGGCAGTTGCTGACCTCACCTTTCCTGTTCCTGTGGTAACTAATGTTGTAGATGTCACAGTAGGCACTAGGTCTCTACTTTAATGCTGTATATTGTTTGCTTCAGTTGTTGCTATTCTTTGTTTCCCCCTTTTCTGTGAGGTGTAAAGACTGCTGCTGAACTAAACTGAGCCAGGCATATTTGGTCTACACACAAACTACCTACACTCAAACTTCAGCAATACTTTAATACAAAGAAGAGACAGCTTTTTCGCTGCTGTGACCAAAAGGCCCAGCAAGAACAAATTTAGAGGAAAAGTTTATTTGGGGGTTCACGGTTTCAGAGATCTCAGTCCATAGATGGCTGACTCCATCCCTTAGGGCTTGAGAGGAGGCAGAACATCATGGTAGAAGTGTGTGGCAGAGGAAAGCAGCTGTGGACATGGTACCAGGAAGCAGAGAAAGAGAGAGCTCGTCTTCCCATGACAAATATAAATCCCAAAGTCATGCCCCAATGACCCACCTCCTCCAGCCACACTCTACCTGCCTACAGCTACCAATTAATCCCTTTCAGGGGAATAATTTACTGATTGGCTCAAAGCTCACATAACCCAATCATTTCACCCCTAAGAAAGTTTAGGGTTGATGTTATTATCTCACACATGAGCTTTTGAGGGACATCTCATATCTAAACCATAACAAATCCCAAACTAGTGACTAAGCCTAAAGTAGGAATGGCTAGGGGAGCTCTCAATCCCACTCTCAAGTCCCACTCATGGACACCCACTCTTAGAGAAAAAAATTTAATAGAAATGCTGTGGATACCATATCTATGAAGGCTCTCAATCTACATCACTCTAAGACAGTTTAGCAAGAGACTGTGGCCTAAAAATGCCTACAAATGAGAGAAAGTGAAACCTATCCCAATAGATGCATACAACACAGGAATAAAAGAAATGGGGGTAAAGAACAAGGTAACACAATGCCTTCTAGAGTTCATAATTCACCTGCAATTGAGTCCAAAGATATTGAAGTGGATGAAATACTTGATAAAGAATTCAAAAGAATAGCCAGGCATGGTGGTGCATGCCTGTAATCCAGCAGCTTGGGAGGCTGAGCCAGGAAGACTGTAAACTCAAAGGCAGCCTCAGCAATGGCAAGATACTTAGCAACTCAGTAAGACCCTGTCTCTAAAAAAATAAAAAGAATTATTCCAAGAGAACAACTGAATGAATTACGGTAGTCAGTACAGAATATGAATGAGATATTCAATAAGGAGATAGTTAATGAAAAACAACTGAATGAAAATCTTAAAAAATGAAAGACAATAAATAAAATAAAATGTTCAGTTGAAAGTCTAAAAGAATAGATTATGCTGAAGATAGAACCTCAGAGCTGGAAGACAAAGTGGCCAACATTGAACATTCAGACAGTATTAAAAGAAAATAAGTAACCATAAGTAGAATATTTAAGAACGCTGGAATGACATTAAGAGACCAAATTTAAGAATCACTGAAATTGAGGAGGGTTGTGAGATAAGATTAATGTTATTGGTAAACTTTTTAAGGAAATAATAACAGAAAATATTCCAAACCTTGAGAATTAAATGGACATCCAGATACAGGATGTATTCAGAACCCTAAATAGACAAGACCAAAAAAGAACCTCTCCAAGAGAGATAATTAAAATGGCTAACACACAGAGCAAGGATAGAATTTCAAAAGACTCAAGATAAAAACATCAGAGTCAAGCCAATCAGAATTACTTCTGATTTCTCAACACAAACTTTAAAATCCAGAAGGGCTTGGATCACATCACCATCAACAGTTATAATAACTGCAACAATATGGAGAGAGCAGGAGTTAAATAAACCAAATAGTTCTAAAAGATGGTAAAAATACATTTCATTGATTTCATCATACTCTAGTCAGAATGGCAATAATCAAGAATACAAGTGAACAATAAATGTTGGTAAGGATGTGGGGAAAAGGGTATACCCATATGTTGCTAGTGGGACTGCAAATTGGTCCAACCACTCTGGAAATTCCTTAAAAAACTAAGAAGGGAACTACCATTTGACCCAGTTATTCCACTCCTCGATATATATCCAAAGAAGTTAAAATCAGCCATACTACAGTGACGAAGCCACATCAATGTTTGTAGCAGCTCAATTCACAATAGATAAGCTATGGAACCAATCTAGGTGTCCTTCAACAGATGAATGGATAAAGAAAATGTTATACGTAATGCAAAATTACTCAGCCATAAAAAAAATTGATTTTCTGACATTTGCTGGTAAATGGATGGATCTGGAGACTATCATGCTAAGTGAAATAAAAGCCAAGCCCAAAACAACCAAAGGTTGAATACTCTCTGATATGTGGATGCTAACATACAAGGGGATAGTAGAAGGGGAAGAATAGAAGTTAAGTGGATTAGACAAAGGGGTTTGAAAAGAAGGGAGTGGGGACAGGAATAGGAAAGACTGGAATGAATCTGACATAACTTTCCTATGTACAATATGAATATACTTCAGTGAATCTCACATAATGTACCGGGATCCTAATTAGAGTAAGATATAGTCCATGTTTGTATAAATGTCAAAATATATTCTGCCATGCATAACTAAAAAAAAAAACAAAACACAGATTTCATTAAGAGAAAGAAAATGTGGTAGGAAAGTAAGTTTAGAATGTCCAAAATGGAAACAGAAATACAACAGAAAATAATCCAAGAAAATAATTGTCAACAAAAATAGCTACATTCGGGGGGGCTGGGGATGTGGCTCAAGCGGTAACGCGCTAGCCTGGAATGTGAGGGGCGCTGGGTTTGATCCTCAGCACCACATAAAAATAAAGATATTGTGTCCACCGAAAACTAAAAAAATAAATATTAAAAAAAATAGCTACATCCAGCAAAACTATCCTTCAGAACTAAAGAAATAAAATCTTCCAAGATAAGCAGAAACTAAAAGAATTCATAACTACTAACCCAGCACTACTAATACTATGCACAGAAGAAATAAAAACATGGGGGTGGGGGTGGGGGATAGATGTCATGAAGATCAGTAGAGGAAAGGGACCAGTGGAGTGAGGGAGGGAAAAGGGAAACACTAAGGAATAATATTGTCCAAAGTAGTTATATTATGTGTAACAAGTCTCATTATTATGTACAACTACAATGCACCAATAAAATATGGGAAAAAAGTTTTTAAAAGTAAAAACAGCTGGGAATATACTTCAGCGATAAAGCACTCCTGGTTCAATCCCCAGTACCAAAAATAAACAAACAAATGTGTGTGATGGACTAACTAATGTGATGAAGGGAATTTCAAGGCAACACAATCAAAGTTCAATTTGTGGCATAGGCTTTACCGGCAGATCTATAGTATCAGGAGCAAAAAAGTGAAGCAGAAAGATTTTGAAACACTTGCAGTGTGGCCAGAGAGTGCTGTTTCAAGTTACAATCAAGGAGGTTACACCTGCAGCAAGCAGAACCAGTTTACAGGTGGCCACGTTGGCTCAGCAAGGCTGTAGGCATGGGGCCTAATGCTGGACATGAGCTGAAGGAATTCATGGTTTGCCTGCTGGGTTTTGGTCTTGCATTGGTCTGATTCCTCATGATTGCCCTATTTCTCCCCTTTGGAATGGGAGTTCACCTAATGCCATTGTGCATAACTTGTTCTTTTGATTTCTACAAGAGCTTACAGCTGAGTTTGCTTTGAGTTTCAGAGAATTTGGGCTTGGACAATGCCAGAATTCTTTGACTATGGTTACTGTTAAGAGATGGACTGAATGTATTTTGCATTGTGATATGGACATGAGCCTTTAGAGTCCAGGTCCTTGTTATGGTTTGAGTTTCAAATGTCTTCCTAAAGCTCAGGTCTCCGAGTCTTGGTCCACAGCTAGGGTGCTGTTGGGTGGTGGAACCTTTAGGAGGTGGGACCTAATAGAAGGAAGTAAGGTCCCTAGGGACATGCCCTAGAAGGGGCTATTGGGGCCCTGCCCTTCCTCTTTTTGCTTCCTGATTGCCAAGAGGTAAGCAGCGGGGCTCCCCACCACAATGTTCTGCTTTGCCATAGGCCCCCAGACAATGAAGCCAAACAACCATGGACTGAAATAGTGAGCCAAAATAAACCTTTTCCTTCTTTTAAGTTGTTTTTGCCCTATTTGTCACAGGAATGGAAAGCAAGCACATCTCTGAAGGGAGAAATAGGAGTTTTCACTTGGAATTTGATTTATAAGATAATAGGAGGAATGAGACCCAAGGCCACTCCAGGCTTGAGTACTTTAAAGGGAGTTGGGAGTCAACTCAACAGCAAGTTGCTCCAGCTGCTCCACAGGCCCCTCCAGGTGGAAACCACACGCCGGTGATGTTCTCCCCAGGAGCGGGCAAGACTGGGATGGGAGATGGCTGGCTTTCAAGACAGACCTCGAAATGGGGTTGCTCTGGAAACGACTGGAGCTGGTCCCTGGTCACAATTAACCTGCGATAATAACATTTAAGTGCTGAATGCCAAGTAGCCAGAGATGATTTTATTGTTAAACAGAGAAGACAAAACATTTATTCTCTTGCACATGCATCCTTTAATTTCATGCACTGGGCTTCACAGTTTACAAAGCATTGTTTGTGCCATTCCAGTCTTATAGCAACTTCTGAAGCACCCCATCAGGTACTTTCCTTTCTGTTCTCATAAGCAAGGCAGTGGCCTTCTGACTTGCCAAGGTTATAGTCAGGGTATTGCTGTAATGGGATCCCATCTTATAGTTCCCTGTTTCAGGCTCCCTGAGTTACAGCTCCGGCTGCACAGCTGTCCACCTGACCTCTCAAACAATGGGCAGGACTAGGAAGAGACAGATTCCATGAGGGGAATTTGATTACCATAAGGTATTCCAGAGGGAATCTGAAAACTGTCTAGGGAAAGGTTTGGGACCAGGTCGCCAATTTCTCTTAAGCCCATGGGGACCTGGATGACTTCACTTTCACCTGTTGAACTTTTTTGGTCCCATCAATCCCTAGTCATTCCTGTTCTGGGCACACTGCTGGAATACCTTGATGTTGAGTTTGGAATTGCTACGCCCAGAGAAACCACTCTCAGAGCAATTCTGTCCAGGACATGCAGAGGGTCTGGTCAGGCTTAGCAGCATTTGTAGTTGTAAGTCCTTCAACAGGGGCCCGTCCTAACTAGCTAATGAGCTTCTTCCGTGTGTAAGTTCTGCTGAAGGGGCGCCTCCTGGAGAAGGCTTGTCTGAATGGAGATTCTTCGGAAGTAGAGGGAAACACATCCACATCCTCATCTAGAAAAAGGTAGAGAAGTGACTGTGGACTGAACAAAAGAAAATGGGCTTGAACAGCAAAGGGTCACACAAACAAATAAATTTAAGAAAATCAGTACTGTGTTACCCTCACTTGTGATAATGCTCTTCACCTTTCATGCTTGGGCACCAGGTTGACAACAATAAGCCACTGTGGAAATGCAAAGTACTTGCACTTGCGTTTCCTCAATTTTCTGTATTGTACATTCTTTTAGGTTTTGGATCTGTGGGGGTTATACTACTTTGCATGACTTATAGAGACCCCCACATCGTGTGTTCCTCCTCCCATGTTACAGAAGAAAACAATTCTAGCCAGTGCAATGAACAACAAATCCTGTGCTTTTACAGAGGGCTTGAGAAAGGGCACAAGGAAGGGGCATCCTAGAGTTTGATGAATGATTATGACAATACTTTATCATACTGAATGTTCAGAAAACATGGCATAACCTACTGGCAGGAATGGCTGTCTCTGAACATACCACTTCTGTGGCCCAAGTGCTTTTCTGTTCAGATTCTAAGAATACAGACAAGCAGTGTCATGGTGTCCCAATGCTGTCACCATCTTCAAAACTACGTAGGATCTTGAGAAGGTTTTTGTTTAGATGCACCGAAGCTTTACTGAAGCTTTTCTGGGGAGGGTACACAACATCTGAGGCACAAAGCCATCTATCCCTTACTTGGCATCCCCAAGATTCCTCCAAAATTGATTTGCTTGGCAACCCTGAGTAAATTCTCCAAGTCACCCACAGGGGAGCACCGTGGCCCTGATAAAAGTTACCAGGACCTTTAACAAGGAGATTACCTCTGATGTCCTTGCTCTGAGAGGAAGGCATCTTCCCCTGAAACAGCAGCGGAGATTGGGTCAGAGCCTGCAGACCACTGGCCGAGATGCAGCTTCGCACAGCACAGCCAGGAGGTGGGGTGGAGCCTGAGGAGATGCCACATGTTAAGTGCAGCCCCACAGGGTCCCAAACAGAGACGCTTGGCCCTTCCCAAGTTCCAAATGCCTCCTCCCAAATACTCTGCCCAACAGAAACCACATGGCAGATGGGTTTCAAAAATAAACTCACCAGAAACAAACACTTCGTCGTCCCCTGTGGAGGGACACAGTGGCATGCTCCAACTTGGAGACCCCTCTTCGTGCTTGCTGGCTTCTGAATCTTCACTCAGGGCACTGCACACTCTTTTGGGTCCACACTCAGCTTCTTCCTTGGCAGACAAGAGTCTCTTCCTGGAGCCCAGCCCAAACTGTCCCCATGAGAAGACCTCCTCAACCTTAGGCATACTGTCCCTAGGAGGTGACTGGTCTGGCAACTGACACACCCCCTCGAGCTCAAAATCCTCCAACATGGGAGCCTTGTGATGGCTAAGCTCAAGACCTTGCTCCCTTCCCTCGGGCTCAAGCAATGACAAGCCTCCAGGAAGGTCTGTGCTGGCCTCACCCCGCCCAGCAAAGGTTCCAGTGCTGTGGTCTACGGCCCTCTTCCTCCGAGGCCAGTCTTTAATTGTGTCAGGTGTGGTCTTCCCACTGTGCTTGGGGGATGGTGTCCAAGGAACCCCAACATCTGTTTGAAATGGAGAGGGAGTACTGGAGGGGCAGCGGGTGGGGGTATAGGACTGGCAGATGTAGGTTTGTCCCTTGCTTTTGCCAGGTGTGCTGTGTGAGGGGCGGAGACAGGGGGGTGACATGTAGGTGGGTTCAGGTTTGTTGGAGGACCTGCTGCCTCTGGAAACACTGAGATCAGGGAAGGAGCTCTCCTCCCCCAAGGGGCTCTCTTCCTTTCCTATGGCATCAATTTCAAACACGGAGCTGGGATCTACCTTTTTGATCCTAAGTTTGGGAAGGCCAGAGGCTTGCATCTCCAGCTCGACCTCATAGGTCTGAGGGCTGGCAGGGTCCTTGGAATGCCACACAGAAGATTCCAGGTTCTCCAGTTGTGCTGTGGCCTGGCACCATCTTCTGTCTGAGGTGCAGCACAGAGAGGAGGACAGTACCACAGGAGAGCTGGGCTCAGACGAAGGGAGAGGCAGAAGCACCCCAGGATCAGACACAGAGGGCTTCTCACTGGTAACCTCTGTCCTGAGCCCCTCACCATCTTCCCCTGGTGAGACACTATTTTTCACATGGTGGTTCTCCTGGCCACGGTGTTTGGTGTTATCAAGCAGAGTGAGGTATTCTGTGTCACTTACAACAAGCAAAGGAGAAGATCCATGCCAGTCAGTTCCAAGACCAGGACCCAGGTAACTCTGTCCTTCAGGAGAAGACTGAGGAGAGAGGCTCCCTTCCTTCTGGCACTTTCTAGATCCTGTGATGGCAGCTGGGCTGTGGGTTGTGTTGACCACAGGAACCCCAGAGGGGCCAGGCTGGCATTTTGGGGAGCCTCGTTCAGGATGAGAGGTCTTTCTACACCGTCTCTCAAGTTTAGAAGGCGGTGGAGGTGGGATGGTGCCAGATGTAGCTCTCTGTGGGATTTTGTGGGGAGTTGAAGGAATAGGACAGGAGAGAGAAGTGGCTGTGCTGGGTGACATCTGGGGCTCTTTCCAATCCAGTTCTCCAAGGGGAGGCGATGCTGTCAAAGATTTTCTAAGTGGACTCCTAGAAACATCATCTGTCGGAGAGGGAAACTGTTTCTTTGGGGAAACGGGTGGGGAAGAAGTATCCCCTGGTCTCTTTGGGGTTTTGACAGCTATGTCCTTTAGTGTCTGTGCTGGCTCGTCTGCTTGAGAAACTCTGAGGAGATAGGGCTGTTGGTGTTTTTGATTCTGGGGTGTGCCCGTGAGGGGTGCTGCCCTTGAGGGTGTTCTGAGGGAATATCTGACAGGAGTCAGATACCCATTCCTGAGCTGGGCACTTGAGGGAGCTGGGGATGCTGGATAGCAGGGGCTTTCTGGACTGGAATTCACTGAATGTGACCATATACAATTTGGCAAAAATCCAGGCGGCTGAGCACCTGGCCTGCTGGGAGTTTTTGGTATGTTTGTTTCAACAGGAGAGCCCCCTTCTCCTGCCAAGGAGGATCCTTTCTGAGGAGTGACTTTTGATTTCAATCGTGTCCCATAGCCATGGGAGGAAGGGTCTTTTAAGGACTCCTGCTTTGCAGGTGTTGTTTCTGCAGGGGAGTCTGCAGAGCATAAATCCTTAAGCATTCTTTTTGGAGTATCCTCTGGAGTCCGTGGTGTATGAGGGAGCCTTCTCGGTGTAGTATTAGAAACATTTGGAGATTTCCGGTAACTCTTCTTGGGAGTCTGAAAAGAAAAATGCTTATTTTAGCACCTGATTATTATTGTAACTTGTATTCTCTAAATAGTGTCTTTGTAATCTTTCAGACAATGAGAAAAGCAAACTGGAGATTTAAAGTCGACCAAATAGTAATCCATTTCCTTCTCTAAAACGTGATTCTGATTTTACTTTTCCACTATTTCCAGGACCAAGCACTATATCCAATCTTTGTTCCCTTAGAACATGCAATTTTAATATCAGCATACTACGATAAACCATGCTTTGCTTCTGTCTAATTTCACCACTCAGAACTATCATTAGACTCCCCTTCTCTTCAAACAAAACAATAATTTCCTTTGCCTCCTGTATCTTCCAGGAGGCACTTCATCTGCCCTTAGCTCCACTCAACTGTGTGTGCTGAATACCTACTATGTGCAGACACTGTGGTGGGGAGGGCTTTGGAGTATACAGACACATGAGGTATTGCAACAATGATCAGGGCTCAGAAAGGACATTCCCAACCAAAAAAGTAATTAAAAACTCTAACAAATTAAAAAAAAAAAAAAGTTAAAAACTCCTTCTTGCAAAAAAAGTAGTTAAAAACTCTAACAGATGAGGAGGTCAAGCACTTTTTTCCTCTACATCCTTACTAGATCATCTCAAGTGAATCCTGGTCTAGAGGACATTTCGTGTTCAGTGCTGTGTGGACAGGTGATAATAGTGTGGCTAACACAACTGTCAGGGACATGCAAAGATAACAAAGGAGGCTCGGGGACAGGAAGGACTTGTGAATTGGATGTTCAAGAATGGGTATCAAGGGGCTGGGTTGTAGCTCAGTGCTAGAATGCTTGCCTTACATGTGTGAGGCCCTGAATTTGATCCTTAGCACCATATATAAATAAAAATAAAGATCTTATGTCCATCTATAACTAAAAAAATAGTAAAAAGAATGGGTATCAACAGGAGCAAGCAAAGGCTGGAAAAAATAAAAGCAAAGACACAAATAGAAAGAACAACAGCTATGTGTGAACAGAGTATACCCTGATACTGCTGAGAACGAGTGTCAAGCAGGGAGGGCCCAAAGTCTTAGGCCGGCTTGGTGGACAGTGACCAGACCACAGACCTGTCTCGGGGAGGGGAACTGATCTAGGTCATGTAGATGTGTGGTTTTCAAAACTTTCCTCAGAGTTTTGTCCTTCCCTAGACTCTAAGCAGTTTACCTGGGTTTTTCAAACAAAGACTATTTTAATACAAGGGTTCCATTTTAATGGAACTATTTTAATACAAGGGTTCCATTTTAGAAAAACTTAGCTTTATCGGATAAGGAGTCTACAAAGCATAAAGCAAAGCAAACATTTTGAGTGAAGTCAAATGAATGTTTTCCTTGGAAAGATCACTCTGACCTCTGTGTGGAAGACGGATTTGAAAGGGAAAAGGCTGTTGAAATGTTCCAGGTAGAACTGAACTAGAACAAGAATTGCAGGGATACAGAAGAAGGAAGGGGTAAATAAAACGGGCAGAATTCATCTGGTTGGTTATGCCCTGGGAGAGGAAGAAGTCAGGGGTCACTTCCAGGTTTCTGTACAGAGTGGACAATCAAACAGAAATGGATGAATGACTGCTATACATTTCAGAAAAACACATATGTGGTAAATAATACAAAGAGTAGATGAAACCCATCTCTACCTCTCTACCACCATGCCCTCAGCAAACCTGCTGCTTTAAGTTCCATGTGCTCAGTGATGACTCATATGGTACAACCCAACCACACCACATCTCTTACTATTTACAGGTACCTGCTTTATTTCTTCCTGGACTCTATGTTCTATGTATACCTGGTAAGCTGTGGGTATCTCAGAACCCAAACTACTTCTTGGAGACTTTTTATTTCGGGCCGAACCCTTCTCCGAGGGACTGATCATTTCAGACACTGCCCCAAAGAAAAGCCTCTTTGGAGACCGAATACTTTGGGCTGGAGAATTTTCTCTTTGGCCTGAAAATCAAAAACAATAACTTTTACTTTTTTTTCAATACCTGCCCTCCCAATACTATTGAAACAGCCAGTCCACACAAGAAAAGACAATAATGTTTCAGAGCAACTGGTGCAGAAAATCCCACCTAATTATGTCTAGAACTGCAACGATCATTGCCTTCCTGAAATTTAATAGATTAATCCCAAGTCCTATGTTAGAAAACGCAGGCAACTGAAATAACTTAATTTGTAATTATAAATATATTTTAATTTTTTAGTATAAATACAAAAAATACATCTATTATGTTAATTGTGGACAAAAGAATGAAAACAGACACCACCCATCTCTACCTATGATACTTGTGTGCAGCATCTGGCCATATGGCATAAATTATGGCTGACCAAGTTGTGGGAATCCAAGAGATGAATGGTTAGAGTCAAAGGACTGTTGTTCATCTAGTCATCACTCTGAACCTTGACTATATCTACCTCTTCTATTTCTCCAACATCAAGAAAGAAAATGTCAGATTGTATGCTTCTTTTCCCAAAAACACTTCCCACCAAGTCAGCATGGATTTGTGAAGCTAGGTGGGCCCATGTTACCTGACTTGTCTTGATGGAAGGAGTGAACTCTTTGCACACTTCGAGACTTTGGCTGAGATACAGAGTAGAAGGAACCAGAATTTGTTCTGCTAAATGACAACTGCTTGATTCGAGGACTTCGTCTCAAACTTATTTCTGCAGAACCAGAAACAGAATTAGTATCTAGGGAGAACTACAAGTTTAGAATTTTCCCATACTGTCAGAAATGGGCAAAATTTATGTAATACCACAAACAGGATGGAAATTCAACAGTGGCTATATGAGATTTTGAAGTCTCTCTTAAATAGCTAAAGAGGTTTGATATATGGTCCCAATAAGGTATTAAAAAAAAAACACTGGCCCACTTTCAGAAGTCTTATAAACTGCCACCTGATATAGGATGAAAAAAAAGGTATGTATAATGTGCCATTTGTTAAAAAACAAAAAACACAAACAGGCTTCATATGTGCATGCTACTTATATTTGTATCAAAATTATACTGGTAAGAGTATATGCTATGTATTAACAAAGTATATCTGAGTTGTGGGACTATCAAGTAATTTTTCAAAATTTTGTCTTCTTTATACATTCAATTTTTCTACAACATAAATTACTTGAGCAATTAAAAAAATAAGTTTGTGAAAATCCCTCCTTTCATATATTTTCTAAATGAGCCACAGCATTGTGTGCAACACAGTAGTTTGGCGCCCCCAGTCCCACTTCTATTACATAAAAATATTTCTTCTCCAGAAATTCAATTAATTCCATGTAAAAGAACATTCACTTATAAATAGTGAGCTACACTGTGTACCTGTGGCCATCAATTTCTGTAAATTGAGGATATGCTGAGTACAGAAATGTTTATGTAGAAGCTGGCAGAATGTAGAAGTATAGTGGTAGTACTCACCATCTTCTCCTTTTATAGGAGACTCTTCTACAACATCAATATTAGGACCAGGATCAGAAGACCTTAAAGAATAATCAGCATAAGGATTCAATATTATTATAATTAATGCACATTAAAACTAGAGACAGGTTTTCTTCTAACAAGATAACAAAGAACAATGTTTGACAATATTAGTGTTCGTAGTGATTATTATTATTTTTTGGTATTGGGGATTAAACCTAGGGTCTTGAGCATTTAAGCACAAACTCTACCATTGAGCCATATCCTCATTCCAACATATCAATATTATTGTGAGATGGTTGGCATGCTTTTAAAAAAAAGCAATTTTATAACATCAAAATTATTCTAAAATATATTAATACTTTTTTTTTTTTTTGTACTAGGGATTTACCTGGGGCCCTTAATCACTGAGCCATATCCTATCCCTTTTTATTTTGAGACAGGATCTCACTAAATTGCTTAGGGCCCCAAATCTCCAAGTTACAGGGATTCCGGGTATGTACAACCACATCTAGCAGCTCAAGTTTCCATTTAAGAGCTTTAATTTCTGCCATTTTGTCAAGGACTTCTTACCCACCAATTTTACTGTAAACTTTCACCAGTATGTAACACCTGTCAACAAATAATGACAAGATGGAGTTTGAACAAGATGAAAAAGATGTGCTTCTTATTCCCTTTAAAGTATGGCTAAAAACCTTGGACATTATATATAAAAGAGGAGACAACTCTGAAAGGTAGAGAGACGGCAACTTAGCTGAGGACTTTAGGACCTGAGAAAAGATGGTGCAGTGAGCTCCCCTTCTTTCTGCTGCACACATCCTACCTGGGTTCCGGAGAAGCTGAAAATGTACATATGCCGATAGATAGACAGATAGACAGACAGGTGGATAGAAACAAACAAAAAAAAACAACAAACAACCCAATGCCACACAGAGAGACAGCTTTCTCAAGCCAAAGAACCAGGAAAGAGGCAGCCTAGCAAGACAGAATACTTCAGATAACTACCCTTCTCAACTGATCATTGCAGAAAAAACTGCAGCCTCACCCATACCTCTGTCAGCAGAGGCTGAGCTGGGATCCTAGACTTCTTGCTTTGCCTGGCAGGAATAGGGACATACCATTTTGCATATCAACAGGTGAACTGATTTAAAAACTGCAGACTATTCATTTGATGGATACTACTCAGCAATGAAAAGGGATGAACTACTTATATAAGCAACAACAAATCTCAATGATACCAAGTAAAAGAGGCCAGACAAGAGTATACTCTGTATCGCTCTCCTGCCCACACAATATTATAGAGTCCTTTGTAGTTAATAAGCAACATGGTTAAGATTGAAGTCTGGATTGAAGGTCAAGAGAAGGCAAACAGTGGCCCCCAAGATCACGGTGAAGGTAGTTTGAGTGTATGCAGAAGCCTGGACAAGGATGCCACTCACCTGCCCTTGATTTGTCTATGAAGTAGTCTCTTGGAGACTTGCTTATGTACTGGAGTCTCAGCCACACTCTTAGTCAGCAGTTTGTGATAACCTAAAATGTAAAAAAAGCAACTGAATTTATATATGGTCCATTAGCTAGCTAGAGTAGATCTTTTTAAGTTTTGTCTTTATAAAACTCAATGGGATAGAAAGTTTATCAACATTATTAGAGATTAAATAATGACAGACCAATGTAAAATACTTCAAAATTATTTATCACATAAGCAATCCTAAAAAATGAAAAGTGCTCACTTCTTAAGACTAACATACCTATCCACCTCATTAGTGGTTCTTATGAGGAGATAATATGTAAAAATAAGAACATGCCATGCAAGTATTAATTATTAAGATAAATCTAGTTGGCATAAGATATCTCAGAATAGGTAGCCAAGCTACACAAGGGGAGGTCTGGTTTAGAGTAAGTTAAAAATGATAAACTTGCTCAGTGGTGGAGTGCCTTCAAAGACCTAGATTTGATTCCTAGCACACACACACACACACAAAAGGGTGACATCAGCCGAAATGATGGAGAAGGACCTCTGGAAAAAAATCCTCCTCTTAAGGAGAAAGAACTCTGGAAAAAATAATTATTTTTAAGACTCTGGAGATTAGCTAAAGGTTTGCAGGAAAAATGGCCAACTCTCAGAAAGTACAGGGAGGATTATGGTACTTTAACCTGCCCTAGTCCCAATACCCATTCCCTAGCCCTGTGGTCACCTTGAAAACCAACAGCCCTATAGTTTCTGGATGGGGCAGAATGGGATTAGAGCTCCTCCAAAGCACTTCTCCCATACACCTGTCATCATTTGACCCTACAGTTCCCTGGAAAATCCTACTCACAAGACTGGTCTCTACTTATCAGACTTAGGACTCACCTGGTATAAACTACCTTTTCCCTGGAAGCAAGTGTTTATTGAAAGTGTTAAATATCACAGCTGCCTGAGGTGGTGATAATATGTGGAGAAGAATTCTACACCCAACAAAACCACAGTTCAAAACCAAAGGAGAGGCCTGGGGTTGTGGCTCAGTGGTATGAAGCTTGCTGAGCATGCGTGAAGCAGTGGGTTTGATCTTGGCACCACATAAAAATAAACAAAAATAAAGGTATTGTGTCCATCTACAACTAAAATATATATGTAGGAAAAAAACCAAAGGAGAAACCGACATTAAAACAAAACCAAAAGCTGTGGTTGTAGCTCAGTGGTAGAGTGCCTGCCTAGCATGTGTGAGGCATTGGGTTCAATTCTCAGTACCACATATTAATAAACAAACAAACAAATAAAATAAAGGTTCACTGACGACTAAAATAATATTTTGGATGTGATGGCGCATGCCTGTGATACCAGTGACTTGGAAGGCTGAGGCAGAAGGATCACAAGTTTAAGGCCAGCATGGGCAACTTAGCAAGATCCTGTCTCAAAATGAAAACATAAAAAAGAGCTGGGAGTGGGCTGGGGTTGTGGCTCAGCGGTAGAACACTTGCCTGGCATGTGCAAGGCCCTGGGTTTGATCCTCAGCACCACATAAAAATAAATAAACAAAATAAAGGTATGTGTCCAACTACAAGTAAAAAATAAATGTTAAAAAAAAAGAGCTGTTTTACAAAAACTGGAGTGGTAAGGTACTTCTGGGTTTGATCCCAATCCAAGAAGAAACAACAACAGGGCTGGGGTTGTGACTCAAGTGGTAGCACGCTCACCTAGCATGCGTTAGGCACTGGGTTTGATTCTTGACACCACATAAAAATAAAATAAAGATATTGTTTGTCCACCTAAAACTAAAAAATAAAAAAAAATAAAAATTAAAAAAAGAAACAACAACAACAAAACCCAAACAAAATTTATCACCAGATGGCCTGTCCCGCACATAGTACTAAAAGGGAATCCTTCAGGCTGACAGGAAAGGGCAAAAGAGTAATTAAAATGCAGAAGAAGCATTAAAATAAACTGGGTCTGATAAAAAAAAACTTATAAAAGACAGTATTAAAAATTTTTTTGTTTACAACTTTTTCTCACCCTGTGATTTAAAAAATGAAACCAATATAAATCTATATTGACATGGGCTGGGGCTGGGGCTCAGTGGTGAGTGCTCGCCTGGCATGCCTGAGGCACTGGGTTCGATCCTCAGCACCATATGAAAGTAAAATAATAAAATAAAGATATTGTGCCCACCTATAACTAAAAAATAAATATTAAAAAAATCTGTATTGACAGACATAAAATATAGAGATATCATTTGTATGACAGCACAAAGGACAAGAAATAGAATTACATAGGAGCAGTTTTTATAAAACTGAAATCAAGCTGGTATCAATTAGAACTTCGCTGTTTAAATTATTAATTGTAATCCCAAGGGCAGGAACTCATGCACAAAGATGGAGAGGAAAGCTCTAGGGATTGGTGACACCATAAGCGACAAAGAATCAAATACTTGGGAACTCTGAAACCTGCCTGGACACTTATTAGAACCAGGAGGTGCTTGATGAGGAGAGATTGCTGATATTTAGAAGAAATGAAGCCCACGAACCAAGGACTGCCCTTTCCTCAGCCCCACTGCAGCTGTGGGACAGCAATCCCCATTCTAGGAGCAGCTGGCTGGTGTTAGGGCAGACAGCAGTCCTCCTAAAGTCCGGAATTGTATCCTTTGGTCAGTCTGGGGATCCTGTGGGACTGATGCACATAGCATGGTTTCTGCCCTCTCAGGCTGCAATGGCTTTCTCTAAAGTACCTAATGTAAGATTTAAAAGGACAGAAATGCCTTCTCCTCACCCCATTTTGGGAGCCAGACATTTAAGGAAATCTTTATCAGGTCACTGGCTGGCCACAGAAGAAAACAGAAACTTCAGTAACCACACACAACAAGGAGTACACACTTCACAAAAAATAGTTTGGAAAAGCTACAAAAAGGAAAGCAGCAGCCCGCAAAAAGCAAAATCAGCCATCCCCGAGGGCTTGGAGAATCAGATTTCTATAATTAGCATATCATAATATCCTTCATTCCTACTTCTTGACAAAAAATTACAAAGTATACAAAGAAATAGGAAAGTATGGCCCACTCATAGGAAAAAGAATTTGACAGAAATCAAAATTACCCAATCTGAGCAGAAAGAAAAAAGAATGAGGAAAATGAACAAAGCTTGAGGAACCTGTGGGATACCACCAATCATACCACCTTCAACATGGGAAGCCTAGAAGAGAGAGGCAGGAAACTGTTTTGAAAAAGTAATACTTAAAAATTTCCTAAATCTGATGAAAAACATGAACCTACACGTCCAACAAGTTCAATGAACCCCAAGCAAGAGAAATCAAAGAAATTTATACTGAGATATTATTGTCAGAGCAGGGCCTGCCTGTAATCCCAGCAGCTTAGGAGGCTGAGGCGGGAGAACTGCAAGTTCAAAGACAGCCTCAGAAACTTACTGAGTCCTAACTTAGTGAGACCTTGTCTCAAAATAAAAAAATAAAAAGGGCTGGGGATGTGGCTCAGAGGTTAAGCGCCCCTGGGTTAATCTGCAGTACCCCCCCCCCCAAAAAAAAAAATATAGTATTATGGTACTTTTGGCTTATAACTCTTCTTTTTTCCCCTATGATTTGAAAGAAAAAATACAAAACGATAATTATCAATCTGTATTAATGGCCATACAATGCACAAAATGTACTTTATGACCATGACAATAAAGGGGAGGGACAAAAACATACATGAACAAAGTATATACTATTGAAACTAAGTTGATTTTATCCAAACTAGGCTGTCTTAAGTTAAAGACGTTAATTATGATTGCTAAAATAACCACTAAGGAAATAACTATAAAACACACAGAAAAATAATGGAGGAAACAAAACTATAAAAAAGTCAGGTTATAAAAAAACAAACAAAAAACAAAAAAAATGGAGGAACCGGGGAAGAAAAAGGAATAAAGAATACAGAAAATGAAAAAAATGGCAGCAGTTGTTCCTTATCAGTAATTACTTTACATGTAAATGGATTAAACACCGAGATTAGAAAGCAGAAATTAGCAGAAGAGGTTAAAAAAACCAACTCTATGCTACCTACTAGAGACCCAACAAAGATACAAAGGTTGAACATTAAAGGATAGCAAAAGATACCACATTCAAAGGAGCTGCTTGGTTATATTATTGTCAGACAAAATAGAATTTAGGCCAAAAATGTTGCAAAAGACAAAGATTTTACATATTAATAAGATCAATTCATCAAGAAGATATAACAATTATAAACAGATACATCTAACAGAATCCCAAAACATATGAAGCAAAAACTGACAGAATAATTATTGTTGAATTATCAATAATTATTACATTATACTTTCAAATAACGGTTGAACAATTCTCTTCAAAGAGAAGCTCAACAAGGAAAAAGGAAACTTGAATAACACCATAAACCAATTAGACCTGACATAAATCTATAGACCACTTTACTCATCCAGAGCAGAACATACATTCTTCTCAAGCACACATGGAACACTCTCCAGGACAGATCAAATATTAGGCCATGAAATAAGTATCAATACACTGCCCCCCCTGCAGTGCTGGGGGCTGGACCCCAGGCCTTGCGTATGCTAGGCAAGTAGCTCTACCACTGAGTCCTATTCCCAGTCTAAGTGTCAATAAATTTATAAAGACTGAAATCATACAAAGTATGTTCTCCAACCCAAATGGAATGAAATTAGAAATCAATAGAAGGGAATGTGGGTGACTCCCTAACAATGGGAATTAACTTTTCAAAATAACCAGTGGGTCAAAGAAATCATAAGGGATTAGAAAGTGTTTTGAGATGACAGTGAAAAAACATCACACCAAAACTTACAGGATACAGCTAAAGCAATATTTAGACAGGAAACTGTAGCTATAAATGTGTGTACTTGAAAAAAGCACTAAAATCAAACCAAGTAGAGAGAAGGAAATAAGTGAAATAAAGATTAGAAAAAGAGAAAAGTTGAACTTCCTTGAAGAGACCAACAAAATTGACAAACAAAATTCCTCTTGCTTACCCTGAAATGTGGTACTTTTGTTGGTCTTTTTGAAGTTGTCGAGTTTACGGTCCAGACCTTCCACAATTGATACGGAATGGCTTCTAGGCAATCCCCGTTTTAGTGATCTCTTTGAAGGAGAAAACATTGCCTCGTTGAAGAGATTTCTTCGAACTTTGGTCACTTCTGAAAGCGTGGAAGAAAGAAAGTCAAATATTCTCATCAATAAGACAGAAGAGCTTTTATCCAGAGAAACTGTTTAAGGAAACCACTGTACTGATTGCTATTTTCACATTTACTAAAAAGATTTCTTTAGGAAATCCAAGTGTGATTTAAAACATTTACTCTTACAGATTCAAAAAATTTTTATGTATGAGGTAGGGATAATATCATTTTTTTTTTTTTTTTGCACGGGGATAACTAGGTGTTTCAGCATCATTTGGATCCAAGATTATTCATTCCCTAATGAATTGTCTTGGCATCCTGGTCAAATAATCAACTGATCATAATAATTGCTAAGGTGTTGTGTGTGTGTGTGTGTGTGTGTGTGTGTGTGTGTTACTGGAGATTGAACTCAAGGGTGCTCTTACTACTGAGCTATATCCCCAGGCCCCTTCTTTTTTTAGAGAAAGGGTCTTGCTAGGCTGGCTGTGAACTTGTGATCCTCTTGCTTCAGCTTCCTGAACAGCTGAGATTATAGGCATGTACCAACATTCCCAGTGATGTTTTAATTCTTTTTAAAATGTTAAACAGATTTTAGCAGTAAAAACATCTAGTCCTGAGCATTTCTTTGTGGGAAGTGTTTTCATAACTAATTCAATATTTTTTAACTTGTAGATCTATTTAGATTTTCTTTTTCTCCCACATCTCTTTTTCAGTAGTTTGTGTCCTTCCAGGAATCTGTCCATTTAATCTAGTTTACCTAATTTTTTGGTATACAGTTGTTCATAATTTCCTATCACAACTTTGGTTTAAATTAACTTTTCAGGAATACAAAGAAGGCCCATATCATTTATTAAATTAGAAGCTTTACACATTATAAAACAGAAATAATCCTTATAGAAAAGGATGGTTGATTTAGGTTATGGTTAATATTGTCTAGTGTTATTTCTCACTTTGGACCTTTTTGTTGTCTTGTATTTAGCTCTGCCTGAGTACAGAAACTCTCTATATTCCATAGATTTCTTCTTCTGATGACTTTACTAGTCTGCTGGGTTATTTTTATTTTTAGTTCATTTTTGGGGGGAGTGGGTAGGGTGAGGGGGAGATAGGGTCCCACTATTTTGCATGGGCTAGTTTTTAACTTGTAGGTTCAAGTGCTAGTCCTGCTTCAGCCTTCCAGGTAGCTAGGACTATCAGTGTATGTCACTGTGCCCAGCTTGCTGGGTTATTTTAAATTCAATTCTTGATTTCAGAGCATGGGTGAGTCTGAGTCTAAAAGAGTTAAAAGTTAAGAAAACAGCTAACAAGTTGATAAACACTTGACAAAACTAGCAAGATGGCACCTTAATCTTAAGCAAAATAACCTGGTAGAGGTAAATCTAAAATTCACTAAGGGTGAATTCAAAGAACAGCTCACTGAAATAAAACCAAATAATCCAGGATCCACCAACTGGGAGCAGTCTATGTTAACCCATAAATGACATAAACATTAATGTTAATGACACCAACAACACATTTCATGTTTCAAATTTTTTTTTTTTTTTATATTTGATTTCTTAGTTTTCGGCAGACACAACATCTTTGTTTGTATGTGGTGCTGAGGATCGAACCCAGGCCGCACGCATGCCAGACGGGCGCGCTATCACTTGAGCCACATCCCCAGCCCTCAAAAATTTTTCTCTATTAGGCTGTCTATGAAACTGATTTGTGACTTGAAAGCCAAATTTGATTTGTTATTTTCTACTTTCTCCTTTGTTTTAAAATATTTAATATCCAGAGAATTTTTCAAAAATAGCACAATAAACATAAATTTGCCAACTGTCAACTTTTGCTTTTTCCCTTCATCTCTCTTTATCTGATGTATATAATTTTTCTACCCAAACCCAGGAGAATAAGTTGTAGATTTCACAAGTCTTCCCTTCCCTATGTCAGCATATGTCTCTTAACAAGGACATTCTCCTACATAACCATGATGCCATTATTACATTCATCAGTATTATCTAGCATACTACCTTTCTTCAAATTTTTATAGTTGTCTCAATAATATACTTTATAGTTATTTTTTCCTTTCTAAATTTAAGATCAAGCAGGGATCATGGAGTGCATTTAGCTTTCATGCTTAAACTCTTTTCATCTAAAACACTTCTTCTCTTTGCTCTTTTGTTGTTGTTTTGGTATGGTTTTTTAGGCCTTCATGATAAGAACATTTTAAAAGATTTCAGGACAGTTATTTTATAGAATCCAGTATTATGGGATCATGTGAATATCTTATTTGCCTGAATAAGATATAGGGATGTATTTTGTTAACCAAGGATTTAAAGCCATAATTTACAGCTGAATGCAGCTGCTTAAATACCTGCAATCAAAATAAATTTGTCATTCCAGAGAATAGATGCATACCCTGGAAGAACAAAGCATACCTTGTACTGTGTCCTTCCCTGGGAGTCCAGGCTGCTGGGGGGCAGGGTGAAAGTTCTCCTGGAAAATGAGAAAATCCTATAAGGAAATTTACATAAGTATTCATTTAAACTGAAAGAATAAAAGTTCCACATAAAGCCCTTCAATCCTTGCAGTACAGGAACTCATAGGAGAAACAATAAAACACACTAAGGTAGATGTTCCAAAGATGTTCTCTACCACATTGTGATAATACAAAGTAAGAAACTGTATACGCTCATAAAGAATGAACCAGTAAATGATTTATATACCCATCCAATGCAGATATTAAGAGAATAAGAAAGGAAGACTTATAATGCAGAAAGTGAACTGTGATGGGGGAAGATTTTTTTTAAAGCAGAATAATAAGTATAGTAGATGAAACCATATTTAATATTTATGTATATATGGGAATATTACAGATAAGTATAGCCTTTGATGATTGCTTGTGGTATACACAGAAAAGGGTTGGGACTATATATAACAAACAATTGGTGATTGTATCTGAACAACTGATGGCGAAGGAATACATTATTAACTTTATATGATTTAAAGTTTTTTTTTTTTTTAACCAATGATCATGTATACATTTTATATGTAAAAAAAAAAAACCCAAAACCAGGGATCCTGTAATCCCAGAGGCTCAGGAGGCTGACATAAGAGGATTGCAAGTTCAAAGCTAGCCTCAACAACTTAGCGAGACCTTGTCTCAAAATAAAAAATAAAAAGGGCCAGGGATGTGGCTCAGTGGTTAAGTGCCCCTGGGTTCAATCCCTGGTAGCAAACAAACAGCAAACACCCAGGGAAAAACCACACAAATTAAAGCATAGCTATGTGCTTAGGAATGTCTCTGTATCAAACTTTTATTTACTTACTATTCTAGTAAAGGATTTAGGAGTCTAAGCCCCAGATGTATCTAAACAAGGGAATGGTTTCTCATGATTTGTTTTGTCAGTTATGCTCTTATAATCACTGAAGATTGAGCAGAAACTTAACAAATGATGTCAGTGATACAACGAAGGTTTTGTTGCAAAAGACATGAAAAGTGGTAATTCTTAGTCATTTACACTGGTTGATAATAACTCTTTTTAAAGAGTTAAATTATAATTGTAAAAATATGTTCAATGTTCAGTTTCCTAATCCAGGGATCAGCAAACTACTGTATACAGACCAAATCTGGGCCATCTCTTATTTCGGAAATAAAGCTTATCGAAACATGGCCGTGCCTGTTTGTTTACATACTGTCTGTGGCCACTTTCCTACAACAATAGAACTGAGGCAATGTGCCAGAGACTGCATGACCTGCTGTCTTAAATATCTACCATCTTTATAGAAAAAGTTTATTAACCCTTGTTAATCTATATATTGATATAACTGAAAGGAAAACTGACAGTTATGTCCATGAGGCACTGGGTAGAATCAAGCTTTTTAAAAAATCATTGTGCTCTTCTGGAACATACATTAATTAATATATACACTTATACATTAATTATACATTAATTAATACATATTAATTAATATATAAGTTCACTGCTTCTAAGTTCACTACATTGCTACTTCAGAAAATTCAGATTTACTATATAAAAATTAAACATCTGGTCCTTTCAGTTGAAGTGCTGTGATTAACTACAGCACTAACTTTGACATGAAAAAATTTATTAACCAAAATCAAATCCTGATCTCAGTAAATTTGGTCTTAAAGAAATAAACACTCTTGGCCACTATAAAAATAAAGGTTCAAATAATGTTAGGAAGTGCAAACATCATTGTAAATTCTAGTGAGAAAGAAGGTCTAACAATCTTTAGCTATCCAGTTTTGGATTTCTCACTCATCAATCAGGATTGCAAGATATGTAAGATTCACATCTTATTCTCAGGAGACGTATGGTAGGAAAGTAAACACTACCAACTCCTGCTCGGGCTGGGATTGTGGCTCAGCAGTAGAGCTCTCGCCTAGCATGTGCAAGGCCCTGAATTCAATCCTCAGCACCACATAAAAATAAACAAACAAAAATAAAGGTATTGTGTACAACTAAAAAATAAATATTAAAAAAAAAGAAGAGGAACTCCTGCTTCCAATGCCAACTATCTAGATACAGAATAAACCACTATCTTAATGATTAAGGTTTCTGAAGCTATTGCTCATAGAATTTTTTTTTTAATATTTTATTTTTTAGTTATCGTCGGACACAGCATCTTTGTTTGTATGTGGTGCTGAGGATCGAAACCAGGCCGCACGCATGCCAGGCGAGCGAGCTACCGCTGAGCCACATCTCCAGCCCATTGCTCATAGAATTTTAACTCTCCTCAGTTTGTGCAGTTCAAAAGTTTCACTGTACTTTTAGTCTCCCTTCTTCCTTAGTAAGCAGATTCCAGCTAGGTTTCTTTTTATTGCAACCAATAGAAACTTCAAGTACTTATGCCTACTGCCACAGAAAAACCAATTGCATTCTGACTTCATGTCAGTCATTATCTTTTTATTTTTACTTTCAAACTTGTCACTAAAGTAAAATAAACTTGTTAGTAAAGTCAATTTGTTATTGAATTAAAATTTATATCCTGAAAAAGTATATATATATATATGTGTGTGTGTGTGTTTGTGTATGTATATATATTAAAAAAGTACTTTTCTGGGAGACAAAGTCCTATTATTATATACTATATTTTGATATTATTTGAGTTTTGTTATCTATATTAAAGACTTTGAATTAATTTATCCATTTTTTTTAAAAATAGTGCCAGGGATTGAACCAAGGGGCACTTAAACCACTGAGCTGTATCCCCAGCCCTTTTTGTATTTTTATTTATTTATTTATTTATTTATTAAAGAGAGAATTTTAATATTTATTTTTTAGTTATTGGCGGACACATCTTTGTTTGTATGTGGTGCTGAGGATCGAACCTGGGCCGCACGCATGCCAGGCGAGCGCGCTACCGCTTGAGCCACATCCCCAGCCCTGGATTAATTAATTCTTAACTTTTACTTGCTATTTTTCTCCAAATTACCTCTATCATACTCTTGGGTAAAATGGTTAATATCATAATGAATTTTTATTTCTTTTCCTCTTGGGTTATAGTCTTATGTACATTCATAAGAATATTTAACATCAGTTGAGCATCTGTAATCCCACAGAAATCTGAAGTGCTCTAAAATCCAAAATTGTTTGAGCATCAATATGTTCTGTGTAAATACTCCAAAATCCAAAAACTCTGAAAACTGAAATACTTCTGGTTTCAAGCATTTTGGATAAGAGATATTATTTTTGTATCCTCCACAGTCAATTTCCTAAAAAGCAGAGACACTGTCTTTCATCTTTATTTACTGTGTAAACTCAAGACGACAGGAACAACTCAATTAATGCTGTTTCATATTTATTGGAGATTACTTACTTTTTTTGTAGTTCTCTTGGACACTCTGGGAACTTCAATTTGTCGAAGATTCTGTGAAACCTCTGCAATACTTTTATGTCTTATTAGTGCATTTTTCCTTTTAAAAATAGAAAGAAAGTCAAGATACAGTAGATAAAAGTACATATGGTTAAATTGGAATGGAATCAGAGTCTAAAATAAAACTTTACACGAATACAAGCCAGATATCTTGGGGTTGAACTAGAGTTTATTAAAAAAAAAAAAAAAAAAAAAGTCAAACCCAGAATTTCCAAAAATAACCACTATATGTTCAACTAGTTAATAATAATAAAAAGCATCCAAGGAAACTTAAAAAGTAAGCTGAAACTCTAAGCTTATTTCATAAAACGTTCCTAGTTCTGGAGACCTGATGTGAACAGTAAAAAAAAGGGCTTTAGGTACTACAAAATCAACACTATTTATTTCCTAGGGGATAAAAATAGGCTCAGTTGACTGGTAGGAGCTCGGATAGTTGGCTTTTGTGATTCAGATATAAGAATGACTATAATTCAATATATTATAGGAACAAAAACTAGACTATGGTTTAAATATACCCTTTGACCTATAACAGTATAAGTAGTTTCTTTGGAGTTCCTACCTTCTCTTCTTTGCTGATCTGGTACGGAGCTCCTCCAGTTGGTCAGATTCAGTGCCACCAGACACTGATTGGTGAGCACTGGATGAGAGAGGCATGGGAAGAAGTGGTGATTTGCTCTCTTGTGTCATGGAGTCATCACTGAAAAAATCTGTAGGAAGGACACTAGCCAACTTCTGAGGAATCAGAAACCCGAGGCTGTTGTAAAGATTTCCAAGTATCTTTGGGATGGAGTCGACATACCTGTGGAGGAGACTGGTTAAATACAGAACAGAGAACTACCATCTCACTCCCTCTATTCACTCCTTTATCCGACATGAGAAATAGGCCTTATAATCCCATAACAGATAATACTGTGTGTAGTTCTTGGTCAAACAATTTTGAAGTTAAGTTGGTAGCCATCAAACTTACAATCTCAAAATCTCCTCCAGAAACTTGGCTAGGTAAGCTGGATCTTCAGTCACACACACCATGCGCAGCAAATTTGTCACCTGATGAAGAATTTAGAAAATGACCATATGCCCTCTGTGGGGCAGCTGAAAATACTAGGACATAACTATACACTTGCCTCCTCCACTACTTGGTCCGTCTCATCTGCACTTTCCAGTATCAAAGGGCACTGCAGACACATCTCCAGATGAAGAAATACCTGAAGCTGACACCTTGGGAGAAAAAACACTCAGTCATATCTACTTTTCATGCCACTTAACTGAAAAACTCCCTTCTTTAAGTACAGATCTATTTATATAAGAAATGACTAGTAAGAAGCTGGGTATGGAGCGTATGCCTGTAATCCCAACAACTTCAGAGGCTGAGGCAGGAGGATTGCTAGTTCAAGGCCAGCCTCAGCAACTTAGTGAGAGCCTGTCTAGAAAATAAAAAGGGCTGGGGATGTTACTCAGTGGTAGAGCACCCCTGGGTTCAATACCTAGTACCAAAAATAAATAAATAGCCTCTGCTTTCTGCAAATACTGATTTGCTAATTAGGTAAATAGGTGATTCACACTACACATCAAAATATCACAAAGAATCAGCTACAAAAGTACCTTCAATCCCAACACCACATATACACACAAAAAGCACTTTCAAGCAACTGGCAGTTTTAAAGCGATTGAAGCAAATCTTGAGAATTCTGTTTTGGAGCAATGGCAAAATAAATAAATAGATAGATAGATAAATAAATAAATAAGGTAGTTACTTACTCTCTGACTTTGTCCTCTTTATCCAGTTTTTTCCCTGCATTTTGTCGAAGACTTTTACTTGTTTTTAAGAGGTTACTTTTTACATAATTCAGACAGCTCACCTAAAAATACAAAATCATTACATAGAAGAATACTAAGTTTCTGTGGTATATATACATAATGGAATACTACTTAGCTTTAAAGAAGAATGAAACATGGCATTTGCCAGTAAATGGAAGGAACTGGAGAATATTGTGCTAAGCAAAATAAGCCAATCCCAAAGAACCAAAGGCTGAATGTTTTCTTTTACATGCGGACACTAATTCACAATTGAGGAAAGGGAAAATAGAGTTATTTTGGACTAGACAGAGGGGAGTCCAGGGAGGGGAGGGGGCTTGGGTTGGGGGTAGGAATGACAGTAGAATTAACCAGACATTATTACCCTACGTGCTTATTTGATTACATGACCTGTGTAACTCTACATCATATACAACCAGATGAATGAGAAGTTATACTCCATTTACGTATGATGTATCAAAATGCATTCTGTTGTCATGTGCAACTAATTAGAACAAATAAAAATATATTTTAAAAAAGAATACTAAGTTTCTTATCATTATTTCTAATTTCTTATAAAATGTCCAAATGAGGGAAATATATTCCCATTACAAATTTTCTTCCTTTCGTTTGCATGAAAAGTAGTGAATGAACATCTTCTTTTACTTGGTCAAAAAGTATTTGCAAGCAATTGAGCATGGATACATCAAGCCCACAGACTTGAAAGTAGTGATGGAGAAGCCTAAGTGTCATAAATAACTCCTGTTCACTTTAGAGAAGGAGTCCTGCTTTTGCCACAAAGCACAAATAAAAATAATAATATGCCCTAAAATGGTGATTTTTAACACTTCTAGTCATAAGCATTAAGGAAGCTTTTTAAACTATAGATGGCCAAGTCCCACTTCTAGAGATCTGGAGTTAATCTATTAGTCTGGAGGGAGCACACGCACGCACACACACACACACATACACAAAACCCAAACAAATAAAAAAAACCCCAAACCCAAAATGTTCTTGGTGCAGCAGAGGTTAAAACCACTGACTTAATTCATATAGTCAAGATGCAGCTCAAATGAGTAAAGAGCTTTTTCATTAGGAGGAAATGGACATGCCCCATTTCTTTCATTTCTACCTTATCAGTTCTTCATGTCCATCTTCCAAACTCTAGAAATGTACTCACTTCTCTTTTTTGAATCATGTACAGTAAAATGGAAATCTCCAAAGATACATGAATCAAACCCATCAACAATCAACCAAAGGCATTATCCAAAATTTCTTACTTCTAATTCCTTAGTTCCTTTGGATTTTAGAAACATTTTAATGGTTGAGATCATGTTCCGAGCACATGAATATAACATGCTTTCTTCTGTGGCCACAGTCTTTTGGTAATTCTCACGTATGTAAGATAGCAGCTCTTCCTCAGTTTTAAAATCTGTGAAAAAAAGTAAAATTGACCATCACATTTGGCTAATGTCATTGTATAATTTAAGTCAGTGGTCATCAACTCAGAGGGATTTTTGTCTTCCCACAGGACTTCAGACTATGTCTGGATTGTCTCCACTGGGGGAGGTAGTGGGTTACTGGTGTCTGGTATATAGAGGCCAGAGATGTTATTAAATTTCCTACTGTGCACAGGATAGGCCTCACAACAAAGGACTATCCAGCTCAAAGTATCAATGGTATCAAGATTGAGAAATTAGAGATTAATAAATAAAAATAAATAAATAAACTTTGAGCAATAATTATTGCATGATATCACCTTTGAGTTACTAATGCCTTATTCTTTCTCTTTAAATTTAAATCACTTTTTTTTTTTTGCAGGGGGCGGGGTGGGGGRGGGTCCTGGGGATTGAACTCAGGGATACTTTACCACTGAGCTATACTTCCATTCTTTTTTATTTTTTATTTTGAGACAGGGTCTCATTAAGTTGTTAAGATGGGCTTCTATTCCTTGAAAAGCTGGGAATGGAACCACCATTTGACCCAGCTATTCCCCTTCTCGGATTATACCCAAAAGACCTAAGAAGAGCATACTACAGGGACACAGCCACATCAATGTTTATAGCAGCACAATTCACAATAGCTAGAATGTGGAACCAACCTAGATGCCCTTCAATATATGAATAGATTAAAATAATGTGGCATTTATACACAATGGAATATTACTCAGCACTAAAAAATAATGAAATCATGGCATCTGCAGGCAAATGGATGGCATTAGAGCAGATTATGCTAAGTGAAGTTAGCCAATCCCTAAAAAACAAATGCCGAATGTCTTCTCTGATATAAGGGGGGGGTGACTCAAAATGGGATAGGAAGGAAGAGCATGAGAAGAAGACTACCACTAAATAGGGAAGAGAAGTAGGAGGGAAAAAGAGGGAGAAGGGGAGTTGCACAGAAGATGGGAGGAGAACCTCATTGTTATACAGAATACATATATGATGCTGTAATGAAAAAAAGAAAAAAAAAGTGTGTCACATTAGATTGGATAGAGAGAAAGGATGGGAGAGGAGGGGAGRAGTAGGAAGGATAGGAAGGGCAGCAGAACAGAATAGACAATATGATTGATGTATGTACATTCCATGTATGTATTATATATCAAAATGCATTCTACTGTCATATATGACTAAAAAATAAATAAATAAATAAATAAATAATTTTTAAAAATAAGATTAAAAAAAAAACGGGCTTCTAAACTTTCAGATCCTCCTGTCTTAGCTTCCCAAGTCGCTAGAATTACAGCCTTGGACCCTTGGACCCAGCTAAATCATTCTTATCTTGTTATTGTTTTGTCTAGAATTTTATTTGACTTTTCTTTCTTTTTATATATACATACAGAAAGTAATTAATCTCAAATCAAACACACATGTTAAAAAATGTAAGGCCAGGAAAAAACCAAAACTCTTTGTTCATAAATGACATGATTATCTATGTAGGAAATCTGAAACAATCAAGAAAATTCCTTGAATTAACAAGGGATTACAACAAAGCTGCACAATGTAAGGTTAATATGTAAAAGTTCATCACTTTCCTGTATATCAATAATGTACAAGACATACAATTAAAAATGCATGTTTAATTAACAATCACATTTATATTAGCACCCTCAAAAAATGAAGTACTCAGGAAATAAGCTGAATAAAATACAGATAAGATCTATTTGAGAAAAGCTACAAAGCTCTCTGAAAAAAAATCAAAGAACTAAATAAATGGAGTAGTATTCCATGTTCATTAATATAGAAAGACTCCATATTGTCAAGATGCCAATTCTTGCTGGGCATTATGGAGTACACCTATAATCCTAGCATCTTGGGACACTGAGGCAGGAGGATCACAAAAATCGAGACCAGCCCCAGCAACTTAGTGAGATCCTGTCTCAAAATAAAAATTAAAAATGGCTGGGGATGTAGCTCATGACAAAATATCCCTGGGTTCAATCCCTAGTATTAAAAAAAAAAAAAAATCAATTTGTCCCAACCTGACCTATATATTTAATGCAAACTCAATCAAGATCCCAGTAAGTTGTTCTGTGAATATTGACAAACTGATTTTAAAACTTATACAGAGAAGCAGAAACAAAATTACCAAAGAATGGCAAATAGTCAAACATTGGTAAACTTGATTATAATGGATATATGTAAAACCAGGTACTTAACATTAGATAATACACATTATTTTCAAGTACACATGGAATATTAACAAAACCTGACCATATATTAGACCAGAGTTTTAGCAAATATTAATCAATAACTTACAGACAACATTGTAACATTGTATAAGCACAATCTAAAAATATTAAGAATAAAATAAGATACTCCCTTACTTTAGGAGTTTTAGAAGAATCAGTAAAAGTCAAAAACAGCATTCTCATGTATAATGCAGCTAAATTTATACTTTTAGGAAAATTTATAAGCTTATATCATTATTTTTATTAAAAAAAGTTCAAAAACCATTAATTAGCTAAATATTCAACACAAGAAGTAATACAAGACAATAAGCCCCCAAAATAAGAGAGCAGGTAGTAATAAACATAAGAATAGAAATGAATTAAATAGAAAACAAGTCAGGTGATGGTGGGTGCCAGTAGTCCCAGCTACTCAGGGAGGCTGAGACAGGAGGATCTTTTGAACCAAGGAGTTTGCAGACAACCTCTGTTGTTTGTAAGACACTGGCTCAAAACCAACAAACAAAGATACCCCTACAACAGGGGCTGGGGTTATAGCTCAGTGGCAGAGAGCTTGCCTCCCACACGTGAGGCACTGGATTCGATCTCAGCACCACATAAACATAAATAAAGGTATTGTGTCCATATTTTTTAAAAAATTAAAAAAAAATACCCACAACAATAAAACACAATGAAACAATAGCATCCAACAGAGACAAAAGATATATTTTATATATAAAAAGAAAGAAAAGCCAAATAAAATTCTAGAGAAATCAATACCAAGATAAGAATAATTTAGCTGGGTCCAAGGCTATAATCCCAGTGACTTGGAAAGCTAAGATAGGAGGATCTGAAAGTTAGAAGCCCATCTTAACAACTTAATGAAACCCTGTCTCAAAAAATAAAAAGGGATGGGAGGGAGTATAGCTTAGTGGTAAAGTATCCCTGAGTTCAATCCCCAGGACCAAAAACAAAAGTGATTTAAATTTTTTTTTTTTTTTTTTTTTTTAGAGAGAGAGAGAGAGAGTGAGTTTTCAATATTTATTTTTTAGTTTTCGGCGGACACAACATCTTTGTTTGTATGTGGTGCTGAGGATCCAACCCGGGCCGAACGCATGCCAGGCGAGCGCGCTACGGCTTGAGCCACAACCCCAGCCCCATGATTTAAATTTAAAGAGAGAGAAAGAATAAGGGATTAGTAACTCAAAGGTGATGTCATGCAATAATCATTTTATAAGCTATAGTCATAATCAACACCTCTAGGACTGGCATCATCGCTGTGAGTTAAGAATGTACCCTGGGAATAGGAAACAGAGTGATTTCATCTATTTAATAAAAAAGGAAAAAATAGGAAAATAAAAGCTACTGGATTAAATTCTTTTGCTCACTTTCAAAGACCGCAATACCTAGGCTTGGGTTACTCATGGACCCCTTCCATTTTCCTTTATCCACAAATGTAAAACTTCTTTAACTACGTGTCATATGGCCAAGACATGGACCTTCTTTGAGACTTTGCTGGTGCTAATACCCCATCCCATAATGCTCTTCTTTTACTTTCTGCCTTCTAATCTCTGCTCACTCTTGAAGTCTAGTCTGGTTCCAGGGGTGCCTTAGAAGCCTCTTTATCCTGTTCCAGCCCTGACCTCCCTTTCTCAACTACTAGTGTAGTCTTTACTTTTCAAATAGGCAAGTGTCTTCTGTTTTAGATGCTTTGCTCTTAAATATTAACTTCATTAGTTTATTCTATATATATTATACATGTTAATAAATATTAGCTTATTAATGCATTAATTCTATCTCTATAGTTAAATCATAAATCTAAGAATATGACATGATCTTATTAATTATATATTCATCAAAATATAATTTTTTGTATGCAGCACATATTCAAGAAATGAAGGGCTGGGGCTATAGCTTAGTGGCAGAGCACTTGCCTACAATGTGTGGAGGCACTGGTTTGATCCTATGCACCACATAAAAAATAAACTAATAAAGATATTGTGTGTCCTTCTACAACTAAACAACAAACAACAACAACAAAAATGAAGAGATAGGATTAAAGCATATTTGAAAAATATGAGGGGTGTAACAGAGCAAACATAGATACAAAAATGCTGTAGAACGGAGGAATACCTTTAGGTTTAGAACTTCTTAATGTTCTTCCTTTGTCTTCCAGTTTATCTGCTGTTCTTCCACTGGCTATCTTTTGGACCCCCTTCTCTCCAGCCACATCTGGACTGCCATCTGGATGTAACTTCTGAGCCTTTACATTCAGCCTTGCAACGTTCAACATCTTCAGGGAACGGCACATGGTATTCATCTTCTGTCTCACTGGAGTGCGAGGAATACCACCTATCACAAGGGCAGCACAGCAGGAAAAGTCAGCTCACTTTCACTTCTGTGCAGTCAGACTGCTGTGAAAGAACACTGAAGTGCAGCATCTCCCTTCAGAATGATCTAAATTCGCTAGTTCCTGTATGTCTTTCTACCCATAACACAAGGTAGAAAGAGAATCCTTTTTTAGTTCAAATTCAGGAGCTAAACATTTTGATGATTTTGACATAAAGCAAACACACTCATTTTGATGTTACTCAATGGCCATAGGGTGGTGATAAAACTTCTTTTTTCTACCAAACTCATCTGAAAGGCAATTTAGCAATGCACATGGAGAGACAGTTTTCTTACTCTTTAACATAGTAACTTTTTTTTGCAACCTTCTGCAAAGGTAATTACTCAAAGACAAATTACCCACATGATGTATACTGTAGTATTACTTACAATAATAAAAGCAACAATCTAAACATTAATTTTGTAAATTTTATTAAGCAATGAGATAGAATAATAAAAAGGCAAAGTAGGCTGTACAAGCAGAATAAAAAATTATATTTAAATCTGTTATAAATTTGAAGATAGTTTATTATTCATTAGGAAACTAGGATTGTAATTTTTATCACTATTGGACTAATATAAATATTTGCAAATTTGAAATATATGAATTTGTCCTTTATTTAGTTACCATTTGAACCTTAATTCAAGGAATGTTAATCTTTTAAATGTACATCTTAAGAAAAAGACTGGCCATTAAAAAGAAAAAAGACTTCCTTAAGAAATATCCTTTCTATGTGCTTACGTTTCTTTTTGCTGTCTTCTTGATTAGCTACAGTAGATTCTTCACGAGATTTTCTCTGGTAGTGCTCAGAGAGGCAACGTGTTAATTCACTCTCAGTTTTAGAAAACTCTTCCTTATTAGCTGAAGTAGCTTGTAGTAACCTGCAAAGTCAAGATGTCTAGTATAAAACCAAAGTTCCAACTTATCCAGATTGAACTGCAGATTGAACCCAGGGCTTTACATACAGTAGAAAAATACTCTAATACTGAGCTACATCAACCCAGCTCTCTTAGGGCCTCAACGTTGCCCAGGCTGGCCTTGAACTTGAGATCTTCCTGCCTCAGCCTCCTGAGCAGCAGGGATTAGAGACATATGTCAATGTCTAACAGGATTCTTGATGAATTAGGATACATGTCTAATTACAACTATTTCCCTTTGGGCTTCCATAGTTACTTTTTACTCAGTTTCCATATATTAATAAAGTACAAGATGATGTTAAGACAGAATAATTAGCACTGCAACCACTTCTGAATAATTCTTTCATATTGTGAAAAAATAATGTGAGGTGGGGGACTGTGGATCAGGAGTAGGGCACTTGTTTGGCATGCAAGAAGCCCTGAGTTTATTCCCCAGTACAGCAAAAAAAAAAAAAAACCAACCAAACAACAAAAAAACAACCAACATGGAGTTGATGAGAAGGGGAGATAGTGGAGCTGGAAGGATGGTTAGTTACTAAGTGCGTTTCTACATAAAGATCAATCACTAATGAAATTATGAAAACAGTACAACATTTAAATACGTATTATTTGAATTTTATCATCATCCATTACTTGATATCATGTGACTAAAGAGTGAAAGGAAGTTATGGCAACATTTGTTGAACAGATGTTGCAGATTAGATATGTGCAAGGCTACCAGCTTCACACATGAAACTGATCTACAAGCAGATGAATTGTTATTTTCTGTGCTGGTGTGTTCTCTCGATAGGGAAGGTTTGTCTTTCTGTTTGTTGTTAATTTTTAAAAACATACAAACCTTTCAATTAGAAAAGTTTAGCATGCAATATAAACAGAATATGTACCTCCCACTAAAATTAAATACTTGTTCATAATTTGTTTATTTATTTGTTTATTTATTTTTTGTGATGCTAGTACCTTTTGTATGCTAAGCAAGTGCTCTATCACTGAGCCACACTCCCAGCCCTATGTGTATCTTATTTAGAGATACACATATATAACAAAACTAACACAATTGGTACTTAATACGTTATCAATTTTACACTATCACATAATATCACTCTTTTGTAATTGTTTATGCTCAACATATTTTTCAGTTTTCTGTGTACATAAAAATAGCTCCAGTTTATTTTTACTAATCTCTAATATTCTACCATATGACTATAATGTTTTTTACTTAATCATTTCCCTTCTGAGGGTCAACTTGTTTCCACTTTTTCACTATTTCTGATTAACAATTAATATTTGAGCATAGTCCTTGTGTCTGTATAAGAATTTATTAGATGGCTTTAATTGGAATTTCTGTATAGCAAGAGCACGTAAACTTTGGCTTACAAAGAATTTCCAAATTATTCTTTTAAAATGGCTCTAACCATTTATATTTCCATCATCTACAGTTCACATTTTCCTTGCTATTTTCAGATTTATTAATTTCTAACAATCTAATTAGTACAAAATAGAATCTTTTTTTTTTGGTTGTTTTTTTCCTGCATCCATAATATATGGGAGTATTTTTTAATATTTAATTTGACAATTTATTTTTTTTCTTTTTATGGGATTGGGGTCAATCCTAAGGCCTCATATGTAGGCAATTGCTCTACCACTGAGCTTCATCCCCAGATTTCTTTAAAAATTTACATTTAAAAAAAAAAGTGTTTTGTTGATGTAGATAGACAGCATGCCTTTGTTATATATATAAAATATATATATTATATTATATATATATATATATATATATATTTTTTTTTTAATGCTGTGCTAAGGATTGAACCCAGTGCCTCACACGTGCTAGGCAAACAGTGTGCCACTGAACCATAACCCTAGCTCAAATTTTTACATTTTTGGGACAGGATCTTGCTAGGTTGCCCAGGCTGACCTTAAACTTGCAATCCTTCTGCCCCAGAGACTTGAGCAGATGGAATTAAAGTGCGTGCCACCATGCCCACTGACAAATTTCTGTAATTGGAAATTTTAAAATCCGGTATGCAGATAACTGAGAGTTAATTTTAATAATCAATGCCCAGAAAAATAAGAAAGTTTTACCAAAATGACTCCATCAAGTTTGAACTGGCACCACTGATGTTAGAGAAAGGAAACCACTTTTCTACAACAGCTGGACTCCAGGGAATGGTTCGGCCAAGCTCCTGCTGGGCCCACTCAGGAACAGGGGGAGCTGTAGGAACAAAGGCACAGGCGAGAGAGGAACGCAGGAGTTAAAACCAAAGCAGAGAAGCCAAAACCAAAACAGAGAAGCCAATCATTTGCTCTTCCCCTGGAATGATCGTCTCCCTCCAAAGGACAAAAAGCAGAATCATTAACATTCTTCATCTGCACCACTAACTCCTACAATACTATGTTGTCTATGAACAATGCACAAACACAATTTAGTTTTTTGTTCTTATTACTGGCACCAAAACCCTCCATTTTATTTCTGAACTATTCCTCTAAATAGGGAAATATGCTATATATATATATATATATATATATATATATATATATATATATTTTAATTCTTAAAAATGTACACCTTGGGGACTGGGGTTGTAGCTCAGCGACAGAGTGCTCGTCTAGCACGGGCTAGGCACTGGGTTCAATCCTCAGCACCACATAAAAATAATTAAACACAATAAAGATATTGTGTCCAACTACAACTAAAAAAATTTTTTTAAAAATGTATACCTTAAAAGTGGCTTTAGTCCCCAAGAAAGAATAACAGATTGAGTTGGTGTAGTATATTCTTGGTTATCAAAAAATACTCATGTAGCTTTGGGATTTTGAATTGGTGAATATTCATGATGTGTGGAAAAGCATGATACACACCACAATCTCAATCACACAAAATGGGATATTGTGTATATATGCACACAACCTAGAGGGACACGTCCAACTAAGCTTCTTGTGACTGGATGACTTTGTTCTTTGCTTGTGTTTTTATTTTTCCTGTAATGTACAATTTACTTTTAAAAAATAAAAAATTATTTTAAAAACATGAAAAAAAAGTGGCTTTAGTAAAAAATAGCAGTAATATAAAAGCAGAATAAAACTGCAGAATGTAACAAATATGCTGCATCTAGTAGGTAAATTTGAAATAGTAAGCTGTGAGTTGTGGCACTATCTTGTGGGAATGTAAGGATAGGGTCTCTTAGGGTAAGCCTGATGGGCAAGTGGTAACTGGGTGAAACTAACAGAAACTTCAGTAAACTCAGTAATTCTGGGAGGCCTTTCTAAGACCCCAAAATTAATGCTGTATGTTCTGGAAATCTCTTGTGGTGGTTTTTTTTTTTTTTTTTTGGTGTGTGTGTGTATACTAGGATTGAACCCAGGGGCACTCTATCAATTATATCCTCAGCCCTTTTAATTTTTTGTTTTGAGTCAGGGCAACTTGTTAAGTTGCCCAGGCTAGCCTTAAACTTATGATCCTCCTGCCATAGCCCCCTGAGTCACTGGGATTACAGGGATGCACCACCAGGCCCTGCTTACATTCAGGAAATGTATTTAAAATGTATTCAGACTCATACTGAGACTGCTTCAGTGAGAGTATGAAGAGATAAATAAAAGACAATGCTAACTTTGAAAGGAGTTCCTAGTGTCAAAAGGGTAGATTCACCCTTGAGTCATGTCATAAAGATGGGTAAGAAAAGGAAGGTCTTCAGGAGAATATGATGCTTGGGCTAGATCCTGAGGCATGGGGAGGACCTCTCTAGGACTGAGTATGGTGGGGAGACTAGACACTAAGTCAGCATGCTGATTTACACCCTCAAAGAAACTGGGTCAGGCTTGAACACGGAGTACCGGTAAATAATCCAATTCTTTTTACTGCATTCCAAAAGAGAATTTTATGACCGGCTTCTAAGACTTTATAAATAATTAAAGTGCAGTGTGTTCTACAACAATACAAATTTTCTAAAATACAAATAGCCTATACATGAAGAGCAAATAAGGAAATGACATCAGTAGAAAATATTACACAATTTTGGTTGATATTTGATATCCTGATACAAGGTGCAACAGCTGAATTTGAAGTGGTCCAACATAACTAAATACAACCAGCCAGGGCAACACAGCACCACACACCAAGTTCTTTGAACCTATACCCTTCTCCTTGCCTGTCTGGCCACCAGCTCTTTCTTAAACTGCTCATTCAGCAGTTCTCTATTTTTATCATTCATCCTCATCTCCACAGTTCCACAGACTCCACTGGCCTTCCCTCCCTTCCATCATATCATCTTCATCTTTCTTTTAAAAGGATAAAGTACATATATTATGGAGTTTATGTAGCTTTCTTAAAACTATTTGTTTTAGAATATGATTTGTAAAAAAAATTTTAAACTTCACACCACATCATGGCCATTAATGCCTGAATTGCATTTGCTGTGTCACATATTCAGACAAGGATAGTAAAGGTCTATGAGAAAAGGACCGAGAGCTGGGAGTGGTGGTGAATGTCTGTAATCCCAGTGACTTGGGAGGCTGAGGCAAGAGAATCACAAGTTCAAATCTAGCCTAAGCAATTTAGCAAGGCCTTAAGCAACTAAGCGAGATCGTCTCTCAAAATTAAAAAATAAAAAGGGCTGGGGATGTAGTTCAGTGCTTAACCCAAGGTTAAGCACCTTTGGGTTCAATCCCCTGTACCAAAAAAAGAAAGAAAGGAAATGACTGAGGCTGTAGCCCAGGGATAGAGTGCTTGTCTAGCATGCATGAGGCCCTAGATTCCAATCTCAAGTTTTCCCTGGCAAAAAAAAAAAAAAAAAAAAAAAAGGTGTTAAGGTCTGTGAAAATGAATAGACACAAATATCTCCAATCAGTACATTTGCTCGAAGAATCCTTAGATTTCTACAGACAGTGGATCCTTTAGCCTTTTTTCTGTGCCTCTGTTATGGTCTCCTTCCTCCTTAAACTGCCTGATTCCACAGACAATCACCATAATCCCTTCTGTTCACACTTCAGAATCCATTGCCCCTCTCCAGTTTCACTATTCTCATTTGGCAAAAACCCTGACTCTGGTGAACATGGTTCTCCATCTACTCTGTAACTGTCCCCAGTAGGTGAGTGTGGCTGAAGACGAACAAGCATGCAGAGGGATCTCATACTCATGAGATCTAAGGCGACCTTACTCATTTCCTACCCTCACCCTCCCACCTGTGACTTCCTACTCCTCCCCTCTCCTCAACGGCCAACACTTTCTTAAACCTTGATTTACACAGTTGATGACTCTGCTTCCTAGTTCACTGAAAGAACTAGGAAGCACTCAGAAAAGAACCCCACACACTTCCCACCACATCCACTTACCTCCCAGCATACCAGAAGCAGGATCTTCAAATGAATTATGAATCTGATTCAATACATCATCCATAATCTCTGAGAAAAGGGAAGCTGTATCCTGGTGGCCTCCAGCCACAGCTGTTTGGAGAAAATGTCTTTGAAATTCAGCCTCCTTGATGCTGAACACAGTGAGAATTGTAGCATTGGCAGACAGAGGTGAAATAATTCCAGTGATAGGGGGCCAACCTTCACCAGGGTCCACATTGGCAACCTACAAAATAGTTCTGATTAGTTGGGAATATTATTATCAATATGCCTAAGGAATTTAGTTTAGTAAAAGTCAGCATAATGGTCGGCTATTAGAGGCAGAGAAATTATTAATCATGTAGTCCTAAAGTTTCAATTTACAAGTAAATTTAAATTTAACCTTGCCAGGAACATTTATCATGTACTCACTGAATCCTCAAAACTGCTCTGAGGGAAAAAGTATTATTATCCCCATTTTTTTTTTTTTTTGAGAGAGAGAATTTTAATATATATATTTTTTTTTTTTTTTTTTTTTTTTTTTACAAACATCTTTGTTTGTATGTGGTGCTGAGGATCGAACCAGGGCCGAACGCATGCCAGGCAAGCACGCTACTGCTTGAGCCACATCCCCAGCCCTATTATCCCCATTTTATTTTATTTTTTGGTACTGAGGATTGAACCCAGGGACGCTTAACCACTGAGCCACATCCCCAGCCCTTTTTTATATTTTATTTAGAGACAGGGTCTCCTCAAGTTGCTTAGGGCCTCATTAAGTTGCTGAGGCTGGCCTTTGAACTCGCAATCCTCCTGCCTCAGCCTCCTAAACTGTTGGGATTTCAGGCATGTGCCACTACACCTGGCTCCCATTTTATTTCATTATCCTCATTTTACAGAGGAGATATTATGGCTGAGGAAGAAGAAACCTCAAGGTCCCCTCTTAGTATGGGAAGAAGCCAGACACATCAGACTTCAAAGTCCACGCACCTAATCTGAGGTGGTACTACCACATAAACAATTTATCCAGAATATGCAGTGGACAGGAGAGCGAAAACTGAACCCAGAGCTCACACAACTTAGAATAGCACCCATTCAGTGACTGGGTTCTGCTCTAGGATGTTTCCCAACTGACCAAGTACCTGCCCCAACACTAGTTTACTCAAAGCTATCATTTTTAGAATAAGATTTTGTAAAAATTTTTTTTAAGCAAAAGAAACTTCACATCAGACTATAGCATCAATGTGCCTCCAGGGATTATGGGGCAAAGAGAAATATAGGGGATTTGTTGGTAGTTTAAAAAAATCCATGACATTTAAATCAAATCTGGGTATATTTATATTCATTTTTAGAAGACATTTCTAAGTTTGTGAAACTGTTGTGATACCATTATATCTAATTTTAGTGTAGCAGCTTTTTCTTAAACATTCATATATAAAAGTAATAAATACGTAGCAGAACTAACAAGAAAAACTAACAAGAAATCACCCATCACTTCATATTCTAATTCAACCATTCAATTTGGCCAACTTTGTTTTTTTCCTATGCGAATTTGAGATACTTTACTTAATTGGATTCAAGGTACATGGAATTTTATAAACGGTTCACTAATGAACATTATTGTCATAATGCTACTACAGTGCAGAAAATATTATTTGCAAAAACATAACCAGTTTTACTGAGACTGTGTTATGGAGAGAGATCACTGACATTTTAAAACATACTTATGGAACATTACTGTGTTATTAGACAAGATTCACTTAGCAAATGGAGGACACCTACCAGATGTAACTCCTCAGCAGTCAGCCTGCTTACCAGCTGCTGAAATAACTGCCTTTGAGTTGACATGTTCTCTTCTGGACCTTGTAGCATCCAGCTTTCGGTGTCTAAAGTGCCACTCACTGGGACAGACCAATGAGCTACCGATCCTTTTAAAAAAATTCTGACTGGTTTCTGAAAACGTCTCTGATTCATGGCCAAGGGCTCTAGTGTGACTGTCCATGTTTCTTGAATCTCTTTACCTATTAGAAATAAAGACTATTAAAATCTAATGTAAGAAGTAGTTATTAAAAAGAAACTTAATACTACGAAAAAACAATTCAGATTTCCAATTAAGAGACTAGTATTGTCACTTAGTTCACATGTCAACAGACTATCACAGGCAAGTTCATTTAGCTCTCTGTAAGAAATCTATATAAAAATGGAACTGTAAAGGTGAGACATGATGTCAGAACTTCTCACTAATTAAGGCTTAGAAATATACATTCAAGTAATACTACTTAGAAGAAAGACACTTTCTTAAACCCATAAAATATAGTGCAGCATATTTTATGATATTAAATTCTAAAGACCAAACGATAAAATTACTTAAACAAAAATACTCTTAGAAATTCCTTAAATTGCACATAAAGTACAACATAGTTTAATGTATACATCTTCACGCAGTACTATTTCTATAGAGATAATATAATATATTCAGAATTGAGACTCACCATATAGCAAATCATATGGTGAAACAAATGTATGAAGATTCCAACATACTGGCCTTTCCTGGTAGCAAGCATAATTTTAGGGTTCTACAGGCTAATTTACTTCTTCTTTTGGCCAATCATTGTCTCTTTATTGTCTTCATCAATCTCTTCTATGAGGCAATGAAATCTTAACACCCATGTGCTTAGATACCTAAACAATACCCATCATTGGGAATAACTAGGAAACTTTAAAATCGTTCACTTGTTCTTTTTTATAAATAAGTCAACAGTTGTTATTATACCAGAATTTGATCCTTTCATGTGGTATTTTTTATTTTGCTTTTACATTTTTAATTCTTTCAATTATAAGCACTAAGTGCCCAGGCTAGGACACAATGAATGTAACTAAGTTTTAAAAACAAAACAAAACAAAAAACCACACACCAACCAAAAAAACAAAAAACTCCAAAATATTATTTGCTTACCTTTAACAGGAAGAAATAATGTTCCTTCTGTCCGTGGAAATGAGGCTTCATACTCAGAAGAATTATAAAGCAAACAATTTAAAGTGGCATCAGTTGGCAGAGTTGAAATCCATGGAGAAAGGTGAGGTTCAGTTGACATTTTTCTTTCAACACTGGTCATTGTTTCCCGGAATTTAGTAAAACCCCAGCTGAAAGTTTCAGATGGCAAGATGGTGCCTCCTGCACAGTAGAGCAGTTCACAAACTGTCCAGTACCCAACATGGTCTGGGGATTCCCACAACTAATATTAAAATGACAAAGAAGCTCAGGTTAGTGTAAATTAGGCACTCAGGAATAAAGTTAAAACCAAGAGTAAATAAAGATGATACCAACATTAAAAGATCAAATTATACCATTAATATATTTAATAAAGCTAAAATCAGAATAAAATAATATTGATGCCAAAATTAAAGGAGCAAATTTTATCATTAATATATTTGTTGAACTAAACAAAAATATTGGCTAACATCCTTTGTAAGCCCAAAAACATAATTACTACATAATATGCTTTAAAAAAAGCATTCATTTAGTGAAAATAGACTTTATATTTTCTGTCAGTGATGCAAATCACTGGGTATAAATCACAAGATTTACAAAATATTAGAGTCAGAAGGAATACAAAACCATATACTAATAAAAATAATTCTGTCTTACACAACATAACACAGCAATGATCAGGTGCCATGGGAGGAGGCAGGAGCACCTCCCCTAGATGGCAACCATAACTCTGCCTTGCCCAACCACAGGTCTGAACAGGAACCAAATAGGTTCTCTTGGGTCCATTTCATTGCTTTAACTGAAGCTCTCAACATCTCTTGCTGAAATTTTACTATAGCCCATAAAAGCTGTGCCCTGTCTCTAACCTTCCAAGCTCAGTTGCTCTAAATATTCTTCCAAATCACACGTCTCTAAAAACTTTCAAAGGCTTTCCAGTTTCCAGAAGAAAGTAACTCTTCAGAATAACCATAGAGTTCTTCACAACCAACCCTAACAACTTTTCCAGAACACATTATCTTCTGTTTCCCTCACCCATCCCTACCTTCTAGGAACATTAAACTATTTTCTATTGCCTACACATGCTATTTTATAATGCTTCCTTGTTTTTGCTTATTTCTTGTGCTTCCCCTTCCTTCTTCATCAACTGACTGATTATTATACTTTTGTATTTAAATCAAATCCTGCTTTCTTTAGGAAAGTTCCCTCACTCCTTCACATATAGCTGGCTCTTCAATCAACATTCTTTTAACAAACTTTTATTGTGCAACTTCTATGTAATAGGAAACAATAAGATACTTCCTGTCTTCTAGGATCTTAAGGTTAAGGGAATGGAGAGTAAAATAGGAATGATATGAAATATCTAATATCACAATATAACATGACAATACTATGAGAATATGATGGAAGAGGCATCCACCCATCCTAGAATATGATCATCATGCTGGTTAATGATTATAAACTATAAATTACTGTGCACATGTGAGGAATTTAAACTAAAAGGGTCTTCAAAGTCATCTAGGTGATTCCTCAACTTTTCATTATATTCAACTGTCAAAGAGGGGCTAGAAATTGCTTACAGATATACTAAGACAATGATAGACCACTCCAACAATCCAAGACTGTCTTGAAAGCATTTTTAAAACTGACCCTTTGATAGACTTTGACCCTTTAATAGTTCATGATCAGCATTCAAAAAAAAAAAAAGAGGGGCTGGGGTTGTGGCTCAGTGGTAGAGCGCTTGCATAGCCAGTGTAAGGCACTAAAGTTTGCACATAAATAAATGAATAAAATAAAGGTCCATCAACATATAAAAATATTTTTTTAAAAAGAAAGTACAATAGGAAATACCACATATACAGAAGATAAACAATGTACTGATCTGGAAAATGTTATAACAAATTAGTCAAAAAAATACTTCTTACAGAATGAAATGGAAAACTTTAACATAAGTTAAAAAGAACATTAATGTTTGATTAGAAATTAATTACGCACATGATTAAAAAAGGAGAGTATAGTATACTTTTCATTTTTATGGATATTATAGGGTGACAGATATGTCCTAGTCGTAGTGTCAAATTTGGGATTTGCAAATGTCCACTAAATATAAGTTCCAAGAAAGCAGGGACTACATTTGTTTAGTTCTCTAATGGTAAAAGAGCCCCCATATACCTAGCAGGTATGTAATAAATGTGTTGAGTAAATCACAGGCACAGTTGAAAATGTGTCCATATTTGCAAAGGTTTTGTGTACTTGAATTTTTCCATTCCCAGTATGAGTCCAACCTCTTTTTTTCTCACTTTTTCTTCCCAGATTGTGAGACTCTCTGCATCTCCCCTTTGCCTCCACAACGTAGCCAGGGAGAAATTTTTGAATAGAAAGACAGATCTTCAGCATGAAAAATAAAATTTAGAAAAGTTTATCTGTCGGGCATTCTTCTATAAAAGAGGAACAAATTAGCAAACGTGAGAAGGAAGGACCCATCCTGACTGACAGTGGTATGTCACACCTGGATGAAAATGTTTCAGAAAACTCAATCAACCTTATTTACTTTAATGCTATTCCAAAGAGAACACCATCTAGTAAGATATATTTCTACCAGTATTTGATATAATACAATTCCAGGGTAAACTGTTTGATATTTGGTATCAATTAGTCCAAATTAACACACTTATGTATCGTAACTGTGCCTAATGCCTGATTTACTGTCTTAACAATTTCTTTCTTTTCTTTGTGTGTGTGCGTGTGTGTTGCGCTGGGGATCAAATTCAGGGCTTTGTGCATGTGAGGCAAGCACTCTACCAACTGAGCTATATTCCCAGCCCAACAATTTTAATTTCTAGGATTCCATTTCCCCCAATAAATATTTGCCATCCTCTTAAAACACTTTTTGCCCATTTCTTTTTGGAAAAACTGCTGCCTTATTTTACGTTTGCCACACCTTTGGGAGCTTCATATGTGAAAGCACATTGGAAATTTTAACACACTGTATCATTTGTTTTTAATCTCATCTTTTATACATTTATTTTATTTATCTATTTTTTAATTTTTTTTGTGGTGCTGAGGATTGAACCCAGTGCCTCACACATACTAGGCAAGCACCCTACCACTGAGACTCAGCCCCAGCCCCACTGTATCATTATTTTAAAGTACCTGTTGATTTTCCATGTGTAAACTTGCAATTTAACCCACTCCTAGTTTTGTGGCATTGGAATCACATCTTTCACCTGGTTAAATTACCCTCCAAAGCCTTCTCACTGATTAGAACAAAATCCACACTAAAGACCTTGGTCCTACAGACTAGACTGTCTTCTTTGTAACTTTCTACTGCTCTATCCATTGCTTATTAGGGCTCTGCACTTCTAATCTTTTTGTTTCTGCAACAAAGTTCATTCCAAGCTCTTCTCTATGCCTGGAATGTTCTTTCCCAGCCCTTATATTCCTCTTCTTTCACCATTCAAGTCTTCTCAAAAAAGCCTTCCCTATTTACCCTATTATTCAAATCTCACCTACTTCTACCTACCTACCCTGCCCCCATCCCCTCACTTGGCTTTCTTTTCTTCAGAGCATGATTTTTGAAATCCTACACTTGTTTGCTCATCTGTTTAATACATCTTCTGCACTAGAAGGTAAATTCTACTTCAGGTGCCATATCCCCTAGCACCTAAAACAGGGTAGTATGTACTCAATGCAGTGACTTATCAAGGAGTATTTATTGACTAAATGACATGACACAGGAAAATGAAGAAAGCAAAAATATACACTTGTCATAATGCTTAACAGGAGCAAGGAGCTTCACCGCCTTAATAAAATCCAAATTAGCCATTTAGGATTTTAAGTTTGCAATATTTTATTCATTTAGTCAGTAAATCTTTACTGAACACCCACAATATTCAATACACATCTGCTGGACACAAAGATGTGAAAGACCTGGTGCCTACCTTTGAGATATTTTTAGACTAAATGGAACATAATGGAGGAAGGATTTCAGTCACACACACTCACAATAATAAAAAATAAGATAAAAATGCATAGAAATTCAGAGGCTGAATTGCCTCGTTGTCATTTGGACAAGGCCTTAAAGGCTGAGTGAGGTTTAGACTGCCTTAGAAGGGTGAGGACAGGAGGCCTAGACAGACTAAAAGTCACAAGACAAAACAGTCAAGACCTGCTGATTAGCTAGACCAGGCTTCCATGTGCTGGAATATATGTCATGTGTAGTAGCATAAAGTTGGAAAAGGTAGACAGGGCCCAAACTGCAGAGGAGCTTGTACACTTTTTCCTCATTTTGTTGTAAAAACTGTCCCTATTTGTGACAACAGGACTTTTCTTCTGACGGAATATAGGGTTGTGTTCCTTTCATTCTGGGTTTACGGTGGCTCTGAAGACGCTGCCAAATTCTAGTTAGCAGGGAGAATAGCATGCACTAAATCGGAGACTACTATCACCTTACCTTAGACCATTCGGTAGTATCCACCCAGTACAAAGTGATTTTTCGGGTGATCATGACCTCCTGGACTCTCTTGGGCAACAACTTCTCCATCACCTGCTTGGGAGTGGGCGGCAAGCGCTGGGCCTGGGCCTCGCACCCAGACACGAACTGAAGGAGCTCTCTCTGCGAGTGCGGACAGGGGGCCAGTAGGAAAACAGCATTCACAAAGCCCCCGAGCGCGGCCTCGGCCTCCTTGGCCTCGCTCTCTGCGTCCAGCAATCTCCTCCCGCTGCTCCGCAGAATAGGTTTCGTGGGCGACGTGATCTCGGGCCGGTCCCACTGGTAGTCTAGCAGGGTCTCCATCAGGGCACTGTGAGTGTGAGTTGCCCTGGAAGCCGGGCCGGGCAGGTGGGCACCGTGAACACGATCCCCAAGCCGGGCCTCGAGCTCCTCCTCAAAGTCCTCCCAGGAGCGGGTTCCTAACTCGCGGAAGTCGGACCCGCGTGAGGGCCGGCTCCGCGCCCCCTGCGAGTCAAAGAACTTGAAGGCCCAGTGGACCCCGGCCAGGCCAAATCGGCAACTCAGGTAAGTGAGTAGGCGCAGGGCGACCCGCCGCACCGGGCTGTGGCGATCGGCGCAGCCCGCGGTGTCCAGCAGCAGCATCACTTTGTGACAGCAGGTCATGTCGGCCGCGCAGCAGTCCCGGGACTCCGGCCCGGCCCGCGCAGCTCTTCCCTAGGCCCTAGCTTCAGAGAACCAGCGCCATTCAGTGCTTCCCTTAGGGTCCTGGTCTAAAGACTCCCGCGCTCTCCGAGAGCTGCTGCTATTGGCGGAGCTAATACCCAAAGTCAGCTCCTATTCGCTGATTGACTTACGCAAGTTACGTGAGGACTCCCATTTTTGACGCTGATTGGAAGAGTGGTGGAGAAAGCCTTGGCTTGATTGGTGGAGTGCGTGACTATGGGCGGGCCCTGGCTTCCGGGAGAAACTGCACTTTCATTGGTTTGAACCTTCGTTTTAAAATTTAAAGAGGTGGTGCCTCGCTGGCGTGTCTAGGAGTTTGGAGCTGGAAGTCTTGTTCGAGAGATTATTGCGCCTGATGCGGGTGCGAACTGTCTGGGGAACCCGGGACAGGGGATATTTACCAAGACCTTGATAATTTGGTGCTTGGAGGGAATTTGGGGTTTTAAAACCTAAAGTGGTTTTAAAACACGTCTTAAACCCGAATGTTTAAAAGATGACGAAGTCTTTACTTTTCTTTAAATTTTAAAGTATTATTTAAAATTAGCCTAGCGCTGTGGCGCATGCCTGTAACCCCAGGCGTTTGGGAAGCTGAGATAGAAGGATCTCGAGTTCAAAGCAAGCCTCAGCAATTTAGCAAGCTCCTGCCTCTAAATAAAATATTTTTAAAAGGGCAGGGGATGGGGCTCAATGGTTAAGCGGCTTTGGGGTCAATCCCTAGTACCAAATGTGTGTGTGTGTGTGTGTTTACTTATTTATTTATAATTAAATATATAATTAAAGCTGGCGCGATGGAGCACAACTGTAATCCCAGAGACTCAGGAGGCTCACAAATTTGGGCCATCCTCTGAAATTTGGTGAGACCTTATCTTAAAAAAAAAAAAAAAAATGGATAGGGGATGTGCAATGTCAAGGTAATTCAATCCTCAGTAGGGGAGCGGTAATTTTCATTTCCTTCTAGGAGTTATCTGAAGAAGGTAATCAGAGATTCAGATACAAGATATGTGTAGAGTTTAGCTTTAAAAAAAGTAAAATGGGCCTGGTGCAATGATGCAGGCCTGTAATCCCAGTGACTCCACAAGGCTGAGAGAAGAGGATGGCAAATTTGAGGCCAACCTCAGCAAATTAGCAAGGGCTTAGTGAGACCCTGTCTCAAAAAACAAAAAGGACTGGGGATGTACCTTAACAGTAAAGAAAGCATCCCTGGGTTGAATCCCCAGTACCATGTTGTCCACTTCACTTCCTCTCACTGCAGCAGACTCAGGCTGATTTCAGAGATGTGAACATGTGCCTCTCATCAATGGGATCTAGAATTAATGAAATATGGTATTTGTAAAGAAGAGGGGTAAAAAGGAAGGTTGGTTAGAATTTGTGTTTAAGGAGATTGACCCAGTCTTTCACCTGGTTGAATCTGCTTGTTTAATCTGGCTCCTGCCTGATCTCTGAAACTTCTTTTATAGTCTGCTTTTCCAAGCAACATTCTCAATAGTTACTGCCCCAACATTCAGCCATTTTCTCTTTTATGTAAGTTTTCCAGGGCTGCCTGCCATAACAAAGAACCAGAAGCAAATTATCCTCACAAGTCTGAAGGCTAGAAATCCAAAAGTAAAGTGTTGACATACTGGTGCTCTGCCTCTCTCATTTCTCTTTGGTCTCCTCTCTCTTTCTCATATGTCTCTAGAGAATTCTTCCTTGCCTATTCTATCTATCAATCCGTGGTGTTCTTCCGGTGTTTTCACATTGTGTTCCTTCTGCATGTCTGTCTCTTGTCAAAATTTCCCCTTTTGATAAGGACATCAGTGTTATTGGACTAGGGTCCAACTTAATGACTCCACCCATTTTAACTTAGTTACCTCCATAAGACCCTATTTCCAAATAAAATCAAATCTTTTTGGACAGAGTTCAACTCATAGTACTTTACATCAGTCGTCTACTATCCTCATGGAATATAGAGCCTGATGGGGGACCAAACATTAGACAAATTCTAAAACAGATGAATATAATAATGATAATCTTTAAAAAATGAGGGGAAAGTGAAGCAGGCGATAAAAAATTACATTGGTGCTGTGCATGGTGGCACACGCCTGTAATCACAGCAGCTAGGGAGGCTGAGGCAGGAGGCTCAAGAGTTCAAAGGCCAGCCTCAGCAACTTAGCAAGACCCTGTCTCTAAATACAATATAAAAAGGGCTATTTGGGATGTGACTCTGGCTTCAATTCCTGGTATCAACAACAACAAAAAAATTACACTGGCTAAGCAGGTTAAGAGCTTTGTTTAAACTTTGAGGGATAAGGAACAACTTTTCTAAGGCAGGTTTAAGGATATTTAAATTGAACTTTTATGGGCAAGTAGGAGTTTAACAATGGGGAGTGAGGTAGAGGCAGGGAAGGACAGGTAAGGAAAAAACGTTTGGGGCACCTTTAAAAGACCCAGACTAAAAGCAACTAGAGAATTTGAGGCGAGGAAAGAAGGTATTGGGGCTGTGGAGCTCTGTGGTGGTGAACAGGGGTGGGGGTAAGAGAAGAGGCCAGAGAAGCAGTGGGTACATTGCCTGGAGACCTCCTGCGCCAGCATTTTGGATATTATATTGAGGATAGGAAGACAATGGAAGGTTTTAAGAAAAGAATGGTGATATGATTTGTTTTTTGAGAAGAGCACCCTGGCTACTAGGTGGAAAATTGAACATAGAGGCACAAAGAGATTCTGCAGATCATCTGGGAAGTTGTCTTCCAAAGTCATGCATCAGAGAGTGTCCAAGGCAATTCACTGTGTGCAGAAAGAAAATAGTAAGACTTTTATTTCTTTCCTTTTTTATTTTTTTGTTTGATGGCTCACTCATTCATTGGATATTTTTTGTGACAAATTGTATTTTTCTTGAACCCGATTAAGTGAATTTGGGGATTAATTGATTGGGTTTTAGCTAAAATAACTTCCAAAAAATGAACAAGTGGCCTTATAATATTTTTGGTATGTTATGTCCTTAAACATTAGTAACTTCATTTTGGTTCAGGGACTCAGAACTGAAACTTATAAACTGCCAAGAACAAGAAACTTAAGATACCCTATTCCCATTGCAAACCCCCAAAGTCCCTAAATACAAAAACCTGTTGTTACCCAGCCTCCTACACCCAAGACCATTTCCAGCTTGCTCTTGTTCCTTGTTAAATGCATTCTGATGTCATATATACCTAATTAAAATAAACAAATAAAAATTTTTAAAAAGAGAGATAAAATCTCTATTCAAGTGACTCTGCCTGCTATGCCTGGCAAGAGGGCAGCCTAGCTGACGCTCCCTGTTAATAAACCTTTGCTTGAACTCAAAGATGTGTCTCACATGGATATTTACACCATCTACCCTAACATTAATAATAAAATCACAAGGAAACCACATGAAAATGATAGGTTTCCTTCCTAGTATGAGATCTTTGTCAGTCACATTTTTTTTTTCTTTTTTCAAGTTTTTGTTGTCAGCCACATTTTGAGATTTTAAAAGATAGACTGTTTGTTGGGCCTGGTGGTCCACACCTGTAATCCCAGGGACTCTGGAGGCTGAGGCAGGAGGATCACAAGCTCAGGGCCAGCCTCAGCAACTTAGTGATACAGCTGGGGATACAGCTCAGTGGTAGAGCACCCCTGGGTTCAATCCCCAGTATATGTATGTATATATGTATATACAAAAATTATATATATATTTTTTTCACAATTTCAGTTGTTTCAGTCTATGATCCACAGACTCCATTGCTCTGGGCCTGAGGTAAGGCAGAACATCATGGCAAAGGGAAGCTACTCAGTTCACCGCAGCCAGGAGGAAGAGAGAGAGATCTGACTTTAGGGGACATTGTAGATCCAAACCATAATGCCACTGGTCCATACTGTTTATGATGATGGCTTTGGACAGGGTGCAAAGGATGGAGCCATGATTGTATTTTGGGTATATTTTGAATGTAGAGCTGACAGAACTTGCAAACAGATTGCAGTGTATAATGGTAACTTGTTGGAAGCAGCGAATGAATTACAGATCTGTTTGAACCATCTCAAGGCCAAGGCAATGCCCTTCTCAGAATGCTCGGTGATATCTGGCTGATTTGAGACAGCTCAGTCACTGGTAACGCTCTCCTCAAGGAGAGTCCTGTGTCTCACAGAATTTATTGGTTCAAATAGCCTTAGATTCAAACGCCAGCTTCTCCAGGGTGGAAGAGATGTGGATATGGTCAATAGCCTTGAGATGCCAGCTGCCCAGAGGAGGAAGAAATACCCCACACAAGCTGATGAGCCCATTTGGACTGTTTTCCTTACAACCTCACTTTTGTTTATCTTGAAGAAGCTTTCTCACAATAAATCCTTTGGATGTCTAACCTATACAATAAATGTGTGGCACCCAGGTCTTTGTTCAATAAGATCCCATCAGGACTGGCCCCACCCAGTCCCACTTTCATCTATTTTCATTTCATGTCTTTTGTCTTTATTTCTTATCCTCTCTATATTTTCTATTCTGTTCATCGCCTGTGTTCGGAGAACTGTTTTGTGCTGAGCCGGTTGCACAAGTAACTTCTTCATTTAGGGCCTGAAAGGTGAAGAAAAGATAAAGAAGACTCATTGAAGAGGCCGTGGAAGGCAGAATAACAAAAGTTCTAGTTAACCAAGGTTAGATTTGAGATGTCTATTGGACTCCCAAGCCAAAATGTCAGGTGTGCAGTTATATATGTGATTCTACAGCTCTGGGGAAAAATTGAGACAGAGAGGTAATTTGAAAATGATCAGTAACTAGCTGTCATTTAAAGCCATGGGACTGGATGAGCTTACCAAGGTGCTTTAGCATTGAGAGGTTAGAAAGAGGAGAGGACAGCTGAGTGTCCACTTCAATAGAAGGACACTGTGATCTGAATGTTCATGTCCCCCTGAAATTCATGTTGTAGCCTAATCACCAATATGATGGCATTAGG